TCCTAGAACTCTTTTTTTATCTAGGCAATCTGCAATACTCAGAGAAATATAAGTAAAAGCTGTTAATTCTTAGCAAGATTAACTTTATAATGAAAACTACTGCAAATAGCAGTACTAGAAAGTGATGGTAATAAAGAGCTAAGCAAATGTGTATTAATGGGCAATACTGGATGAACTGTGTCAACTTTAAGATATTTTTTTTTTAAAAAATCTATGTCATTAAATACATACTATGACTATCACCTGCTCAAGTGGGGAAAAAAATGAAGCCAGATGTAGTGATACCAAGGGGAGCATATATGGCACAGACTATATTCTGGTAGCACGTCATTAAGTCCATGAGATGGGATTTAGCAATGGTAACTTCCCAAATGTGGGTACTTGAATCACTCACGGCCTTGCTCCTCACTGTACATTACTCAGGTGAACAGATGTGATCTCTCTCAGTTAATGAAACTCTCTTTGGAAAAATCTATTCCTTTTTTTTTTTTTTTTTGCCATAACACGTATCAAGATGGTAGAGTGGTCAGGAAAAAAAACAAACCTGAGAAAACGGACATCCCCAGCTTCACCTGGCTCTTTTCTCCATGGAAGAAAACAAGATAATTTGAAAAGCCTCTCAGACCACCATCTAAAGCAGGATTGTTGTAGCATCTGCCAATTGAATCCAAGGAGAATAATTTTATTTGGGTTGTAGCTCTCACTTGTGAAAGCCTAACTTTAGTTAGTTTGCTTTCTATGGGACATATTTGCTCTCACTCTGTTTGCACTGATGTTTTGAGTAGTACCCAAGTGGAAAATAGAATTAACATGTTGAGTAAGCTTTATTCCTCTTTAATTTGTTATCACTGTCATTAAGAGTCTTTTATTTTTACTTTGGCTAATTGTTACAGGAACAGCAATAGAAATGTTATAAATCTGTAAGTTGATTGTTTCATGGTACAGTTTTTCCATGGGATGAATCTTTTTCATTGATCACCAAGGAGTTCAGAGTGCTGGAACCTGGAGGCATTAGTAATTCCAAGAACTGAGTAACACTCTTTGCCATTCAGAAAGGCATAGAAATGAAGTTTGCTTCTAATTTGATATATGAGAATTAGCAAAGCAGATAAAGATTCAGAGCCAGTTGGTACACATCAGGGAACAGGCTGTTACTTACAGATCCATGTGCTGGAAAAGCACAAAACTTAATTTCTATGTGCATAGTAGCTCACCGGCAGTAAGGTTTCTCCTTGACCCCTCTGTCTTTGCTGCTCAACAGTACCATTAAAAAGACTGCTTTTCCCTATGAAGTTAATTATCTACCTATGAATTTTATAGAAGGTAAAAAAAGTATATCAAACAGTAGGTGTTTAAACTTTTACTAAACCTGGAAAACTGAACCATCTTCAAGTTCCAGTCCAACTATATAAAAGTAATTCCAACTGGATGTTTTTTACACCTATTTAATCACGTAAGCCCTTCTGCAAATTTGTCTGCAGTGCTCATGTCACTAAAAGCCAGCTTTTCTCTCTGTTTTCCCTGTAATGTGGTATTTGTCTTTTAATTAGATGTCACTACTTCACCAGCATTATAATTTGCCAATGCCTGGATAAACAGAATAACATAAAATCTCTTTGTAATTTCTTTGTAAGTTTGTATATTCAGAGATATGCCCATGACTTTATTTTTGGTTGCCTTTGAAAACCCTTAAATTCCGTTACTATGCAGTCAATTAACGCTGTAAAAGCAGTAGCAAATCGTACCTCTAAACCTGTTCTCTAAAAGTAAGATCATCATCACTTCAGTGATGTAAGTGAAGTGAAGTAAGCCTTTACTTGCAACTCTTGATCTTCCAACTCCCCCTCCTTCTTTTTCCAGACAGCCAGTCATAGCCAGGCTGTGTCATTCCACTAACCTCAGCGAAGACACACTGCTGCAATTTTTTCCTTCAAATAATTTAAACCAGGCACAGAAAATGCTAAGAGTCATTACTACAGGGAACTTCAGGCACTATTAAACAGAGAGCAGAGGAACATCCTTGAAAGAAAAGTCTTAAAACCTCACTAGCAGCTTACCTTTTTAAGTTAGCAACTGTATCTCCCAAACCAGCTTTCTGAATCCTCTGTAGAGCTTTATTTGAAATTGAGGTTTTGCTTTTATCTGGATCTGTCTCATTACAGCACATCCCATAGGACAGAATTTAGAAGGTCAAACTGAGGTGTGCACACAAAAATCCTATTAAGAGACCCCAGCATGATGCTCACTCACTGAAGGGACATTCAGTAGCAAAGGACCAGAAGCTTCCAAGTTTGTCTGTCTTGCTTAGCTGCTCTCTGATGGGTAGAAGCAGGAAGATAGTTTTACAGCTTAGCTAAACATTTAAAAGCACTGCAGAAGACAAGATTTAAAAAAAACCCAACACCAAATGCCATTAACATCTACATAAGAAGTGGAGCTGTGGGAAAATCCAATACTATTTTCAGGTGGATTATTTATCTTCAAATACTCAGTCTTTGGGCACAGATTTGCAAGAAAGCAGGCCAACCTTCAATTTTTATCTGAATATTATATGAATCACTAATCAATTTTAACACATCTGACCTTGGGCTAAGTATAATGTAAATTACTTAAGCTTGAATAGAGATTGATAACTGCTAGTTAAGAATACTCCTTGAGAAAAGGTTAACTATTGGATTAAACATAAAAAACTTCTGTCCATTCAATGTTCTTCAGAACCACTGGACTTCATTACTAAGCAAAACAGACTTTCCCAATAAAAAGAAACAACCACCAAACCATTCTTAGCCAAACCAGCATTTTTTCTAAATGATTTCCCATTCAATAAAGTGTCGAAATAATTATGGGATATCAAAGATAATGCAATAGGATCACAATCACAGTAATTAATCGACAAGTGTATTTTTACAGAAAAACATAGTTTAACTACAAAACATTCAGTGAACCCAATATGAATTTAGAAATATTAGCATTAGTATGTGGTGCTTTGAAAATGCATGGTGCCAACTGGAAAATTTCCATATCCTGCAGTATGGATGTGTACATGATCATGTATGAGTATAAATACTGGAGACATACACATGTACACACTTATGTGACACTGCTATTATTTACCACACAGGTTCCTTGGTTTTGCAAATGAAGACACTTTCCCATAGAATATATCATTTTGATATTTCTTAGTCAGGAAAAAGGAAAAATGAAGACTTTGTCACATAAGATGTTGCTGCTAAAAAATAAATACTGTGAGATGAGCAGCTCAATTTATATGAGCTGGTCTAACAGACAAATGCTGTCAGATGATAAGTGAAATTCAGTCTCTCTACAATTTATTTTTTTCTTTCTTTTTTGAATACAGGAGCACACACTGAACTAATAAATTCAGGTCTGAAATTGCAACTACCCCAGTCGTTAAAAAGTATTTTAAAAAAATCTATACACCAATGACTGACAAACAGATTTTCTACAACTACAACTGGACTTTATCATCATATCACAAAGGGAATTTAAAGAGGATGTGCACCTCCTCTTTGGCAGATGGGTTAGGGGTTTGTAACTCCAGGACAGAGAAAAACAGAAGTTGCAAAGATGAGCAGAAGAGCTGGAAATGTGCGTGCTAAAGCACAACTCTGCCTGCGCATCTCAACATAACCAGAACTGACACACGGAGACCACAAACAACCAACATGGATAAATCTGCATTAGTGTCTTCACGCTCCCTAGAAAGAAAACACATAAGATAAGGATGATACTGTTTGCTTTTCCACAGCAATGAGTTGCAGCCACTTCTTAAACAGGTCTGCACAGGTCTTAAACAGGTCTGCAGAAGTACTTGATGCCATGACCCGGAATCTGCCTGCAGCAGAGGCAGCTGGAAGACAAGCTGTTACCATCACCTGGAGAAAGAAATGTTTCCATGAACTATGCAGAACTGATCCGTCCAGCCATTGTCACAGTGGTTCATTTATTTATTCTTAATTCAGTTTCAGATAATTTGCATCTTTGGTCACATTGACCATGTGCCTTAGAATAAAGGATCACATTTTGAATGAAGTATTGCTATCTCTCACTGGACAAATTCAAGGGCATTTCTACTCTTAAGTAATTACTTTCCACTTTTCTGCCTCAATCGTTAAAATCCCTTTAAAGGAGTATTTATTGATCACATTTCCTACAACACTTAATTCTTAGAGTTACAATTAGGAAATGTAAATAACTGATTGTGCTGTCAGATGAATCCCATATTATTCAACTGCTAGGCTGAAAAAAGCCACCTAAAATTGATGGGTTACTTCCAGGATGCTGTGAGACCCTGTCTATTAGATCAATGTCCACTCATGTATTTAAAGTTCTTTGAAACTTCAAAGCCTTCATCAAATGACCCTCCCTCAGGCTTTACGTTAATTAGTCTTTTCAGGACATTTTCCTTCTGGTTAATAATAGCAAATCCTTTGTTCTTTACACAGTTTGTGGGCTTAATTCTTATTTATTTATTTTACAATAGCATTTACTTCTTTCTTTTACATATTTTCAACTTTCTTTTTTTCATTTTCAGCCCTGCTACTGAGCCACACAAACTCTCTACAGGGCTTTGCATGACTCTCCCTTTGCATTTTCTTCCTTTCTTGCCTACTGTGGCAACATTTATACAAATATAAAATTTGCAGAAGTATAAAGAAATTCAAGTTGAAGGGCCCTGAACAAGACCACCCAAAATGAAAGCAGTTTTCACACAGGAACGAGTATCTTCATGAAACCCCTCCTCCCTTGAAAGTCAACCCATGACTGTTTAGAGTTTCTGTAAGAAGCCAAACCAAATCCACCCTTTCAGCAATTGCTCTTTGTTTGCAGTATTTTTCCTAAGGCTGCTAAAATACATACTTCCATCCACCTATGCCTCAACAGGCTAGTACAGAAAAAACTGTAGGCACAACTAAATAAGCCATCACTGGATAAACAGGAGAATTTCCAATTACACAGAAAACAAGGAAACTGGCAACTGCATTCTATATCATACTGGGTTCATTTATTTAGATAAATGTAACTGTGTACAACTTTTTAATTACAGAAGTGTATTAAAAATATGGTCTTTGGAATCCCAAAATTAGTCCCATTAGGATTTTCCAGATACTGTTGAGGTGCACTGGCACATGATTTAGCTTCTTCTTTCATAAAAAAATATTATGCAAGGATTTTGCCAGTGGAAGAATAAAACAATATTGAGAGATCATATTTACTGTTCCTCACAGCAAGACTTCACACTCATTTTTCTCACCCAGTAGTCTCATGTAACCCAAACCCATCTTTCTTGCCTTCCTCACATAAGGGAAGCAGCAGAATCCAATTTTGTTGTCAGCCTCCATGTCCCAGAGCAAAAGCATCCAAACAGTGCTCTCTCAATTCCAGGCAAATTTTTCATATTCCCATGTGTGCATACACACACACAAATCCAAGAGTTTGCCATTCTGGGATATTTAAAAACAGTTATTTGACTTTAACACCTCCCAAAGTTATGTGCCCAGGATTTTCACTGGAGGCTGTAGGTCTGCTGCATGTCCTTCACTGACAGGGTTATGAGGAGGGACCGTGGATCCTTTCTGTTTTTGCGGACTGCGATCTTCCCTCTCAGGGCCTCTCCTGCAACAGTTAAAAGGAAATTATTATGGTTACTGCACTGAATCACACATAGTAACAGCAAAGATGCACATGTTGCATGAGAAGCTGTTCCAAATTAATCAGAATTAAAAAGGCTGCAAAGGTTTCCTTTAAGTTTTCAAAGCCCTAAGCAAGTCAAACTAACTGCAGTTAAACCTGGTGAGGTGCCGAGTTCTGTTGGATGCTTCACTTCTCAGATGGCCCACCCAAAGAGCTGCTATGCCAAATATTTCACTTGTGACTGGGGAAAACGATATTAACCACCTTGGAGGAAAACCACGTAACCACAAAATCTATTTCTGCTGTATATGCCTTGTGGCTTGCATTTGTGCTGCATTTCATTTAAGCTCTAATTGGATAATGTTTTTATCTGGCAGAAAATATTAAGAGAAATCTTCATGGCATTTCAAGTATAGACATTATTAATTGCAAGTTTTGTTTTACAAAGTGTCAGGCTCTCTTGACCATAACACCTGATAAGTATGTCCTTCAGTTACATCCAGAGCAAATGCTTTCACACAGAAGGGGAAGAAAATAATCTCAATTTATTTTCAGTCCTTATTAAGACCTTCAATTTAAGGTATATTTGCAAATTTAGGCATATACAATATAACAAAACACAAATATGTAAATTTGTACATTTAGGAAGCCCCCTACTGAGCTTCTTCAAACGATCATTTTATACCCACAAGAACTACATCTAAACAGATGAATCTACCAAACATATTACAGGAGGGCATGATCCCAACCTACAGCAGTAGTTCTGTGTTATTCTTCCATCAGGTTTCCTTTGCCCCATTCATTTTCATCCCTCACACCAGCCATACCTACTGTTACTACTTTTCTATCTCATTCAATCCAAAGTATTTCCCGCTGTTCATTACCTACTGTGATTTTAAAAGCCAATGTTAATGTTCTGCTAAAAAGCTTATTGCAAAAATGAAAACAAACAGCAATTTCATAACTAAACTGATTTCAAATGTAGGAAGGATTTGAGAGTTCTCCATTTGGCACAATTCTCAGTCACATCCACAAACAGTAAACTGACAGACGGTCCACATTATAAGTTCAGGATATTTTGTCAAAGGCTGCAGCATAAATATCAAGGAAAGCTTATCAACAAGAATGACTGTGGTACCAAGGATCAGAAAAAAATCATATTCTTTGATAATTTTTTTTTAATTATTTAACAGTTAGTTGGAGATTCCACTATAATTCCTGTGCAGCTTTGTTATTAGGAGTCAAATTACTGACATAACACAATGCAATTTGCAAAGAATTTTGAAAATGGTTTCACAGATTATTTAAATAGAGATTTGACAGACAGAAGGACAAGGTTAAAAAAAAGGCATTATAGTTTCATCTGAGGTAGGAATTTTAACCCAGTTTGAACATATAGATTTTCAAAACTGATACAAAATGATTTATTTATTTTAATATCCTGTGATAACAATTCAGTAAGACTAACGAGCCTCTGAGAACCAAAATTCAATGATTTAAATTAATCCATAATTCAATCTTCCAATTTAAAACATTAATACAACACTATAAATGAAGCAAAAATTTTAATATAATTCCATAAGTTATAGCTGACTTCATAGAACAGAACATTCAGATTCTGTTTGTAGAGGCAGTTAATAAAACAAAGCATTCTATTCCGTTTTCCTTATGTGGTAACCACATTAAATCTGCCTTTCTGAATAAGACTTTTCTGAGGGCTGAAGCAAACAACAGCAGTGCAACCGAGTAACAGAGAGGCAGTTCTGACCAATTAATCAATGTCATGAGATAGAAAATGACGGATGTTTTTCCCCCCATTCTGCTGTCCTAGGATCTGCCTGGAGGAAGCTGGGACTGGGACTCAGCTGCATCACCTTGCTCTTATCATGCTCAGCTGAATGCAAGTAAACCACACAGTGCCATTGCAGTTTGATTAGGACAAAACTGAATCCATTATAATCCTCCTCCTGCATTTTTATTACCCCTCAGGGAGGCCTGAAATTTGTCCCCAAATAGAAAAAGCCGAAGAATTCAGCAGAAATGCTGCATCAGCTTGCTACTACAGGAGAAAATACATCCCTGGGTCCATACTGTCTCACCGTCAAAAAACCCACATTTGGTTACAGGCTCTAGAGAACACCCTGGACATGTGCTCAAACTCAAATCAGTTTATTAACATCAGTAGAACTGTAAGCAATGGCATCGGTCACTTCTGTTTGTGCAATACAATCACATACAGGGTAGGCCTGCAGTCTGTGAGCCAAGGTACTTCTTAGTGCAAAAGCCCCATCACTAAGAGTGCTCAGGCCCAACAAATCATGTTTTTTCAGTGTAGAAAGGATTTGATCAAACCCGAAGATTCTACCCAGTCTCCCCTGAATAAATATCCGTAACACCTACTTAAAGCTTGAAATGACCCGTGGCAATGAGCTTGTAATGTGAAGAACTGCTCTGCCTTTCAATACAACTTGGTGTCTCTTCCCTCTTTGATCACAGAAAGGACTGAAAGAGTTTCCAAAGGTAGCCAGCAATGAAGTTCTTTCAGGTTTCCTTCTTTTCTTCCTGGGGAAGAGCTTTATGAAGCCAACAGAGGGACAAGTAAGAACACAGCTCTCAAATAATTCTTTATTCTTAACCCCATTAATATTTAAGAACTTTATGAAAGAGCTCACTGGAACTGTTTCAAAGAATGCTGCTAGAAAAGTGCAGTGGATCTGGGCTAAAAACACCTTAACTACTGAACTGCTGGTGAAAAGCACCTTTACAAATCCCCTACACCTTAAAGAACCACTTAGTGGTAGTCACACATTCCTTCACGGTCACCAAACAGTAAGATATGACACCACTCTTCACAATAAGGTTGTCCTTGTTGGAGGCTGACAATTTAAACATGATCAAGTTTTCCAATTTAGATTAACTGGACCCACTATCTAATGCAACACTGAGGTCTAGCATGCAACAGAAAAAACAGCAAGTCTCAAAAGCATTGCTCTCAAAGAGATGGGTAGAATGTGGTTTCCATATCCCATCTATCTTATGAAAAAGAACAACTGAAATAGTTTGTGGGGGGAACGAGAGCACTTCTCTTAAACTCAGTAACTTATCCTTAATCCTCCCATTCGCTTTCTTAAACTGTAGGCACCTTCAGCTGTGCACAGACTGCCACCTTCCCATTTGGCCACTTCTCCTGAACCCCCAGCCCAATGTGATCCAATGAGCAGTTTCTGTTCTGAGCAGTATTTTGGTATTACCCATCTGATCTGTGATATCCTTCTTCCTGGCTGGCTACTTTCATAAAATAGGTAGCTGTCTGCCATCTCCTTTCTGTTCCATATCACTGTTCACCCTCTTCTGAAACTATGCTGAGGTTTTGCTTTTTCAGTTCATGCTTTGAGTATATTCTCAGAAGAGTTTTTGTAACAAATTGTCATGTTCCAACTCCCCAAGACAAACTCTGAACCAGGCTGCAAAGAAGTCTGCACTGCCTGAGTAAGGCAAGACAGGCTTGTATGGTTGCCTAGGATAACGTGTATGCACTGTGACTGAGATTCCCAGATAGCTCAGGTACTAGAAACAGTTGCCACAGGGAATGATGAAGGCCAGGTCCTCCAAAATGTACAGCTGCAGTGGCCAAACTCGCTCACCTAGAACTAGTCTTAATTCACTGCTTTTTGTAGTAGAGATCCTAAACTGTATAGCCTCATCCCAAGCTTTCTCTCTTATCGGTAGTGACAAAATTCAGAGAAAACTAGACTGTTGTCACTGCTTGAGTCATATCCCCTTGCAGCTGCAGACCTTGCAAAGGGAGGCACATAAAACAGCACAAGAAGTCTATCCAAGTTTTCCTGTCTAGATACAGAATTTCTATTATCTTTCAGTGAGACAGAACAGTCATGGGAAGAGATTCTCTCAATTTAGTGCCTGAAACACACATTTAGAAATGTTTTTGAAAAGTCAGTAAGATCATTTTAAAAAATACAGCATATGACATGCCAGATTTAGTGTGACCTCAAAATTCAAGTTTTAACTATTACGAGATTTTAAAAGCCAGTATCATTTTTGGAGGTGCCACTTGTAAATAAACGAGTGACAGCACTCCACAGACACCATGTTGCAGCTGTAGACATGCAAACCAGACACTAAAATCTTAATTAGGAACCAAATTATCCAACTGAGATGCACAATAATGAAGTATTTCAGTATAGGATCAAAACATTCAGACAGATTAATTGTGCCAGCGTTGTCTTCCTACTTTTAATAATGCTGTCTAGGTAGACAAATAAACATTCTTTGAGTTTGTAAATTTACAAACAGCTTTCCAATTATGGAGACTGGGGAGTTAAAGATAATCAAGGATTTTAGAAGGGCTTAGTCATGTGAGTTCTGCTTAGCTTCGCTGTGCTAGCCCCTTTTAGCACCACAGAAAAACAAATCAAGGTTTTATTTTCACTGCAAGGCAATATCAAGAACATGAAATGCCGACAATATGCTGTTTTACTGCTAATAGAATTCGCTTGCATACAGATCTGGGTTTTAACTTAATGCACTGAAAAAATTCTGTGGGCCCTCTAAAATAATTTTTGTAAGCATTTTATTTATTTAGTAAATTCTTGAGACAACCAAATGAAAATGATGTAATTTTTTGTTTACTTAGCAGGAATATTTCAAGAAAAAACAAAAGGAAGAGACCATTAATAAGACCGTTTTTGGACCATTAATAAGAAAAAGATACTGCTTTGGCATCTCAATTTCAAATCTTCCAAATAAAGACTATTCTTTAGTTCAAGCTATTAAAATGGCTGCTAAGAGAAGCCTTGTATGGAATCTACAACACAATACTGTTTGTCTGAGAAAACCCAGTTTGTCCAGCAATAAAATATATGGCTTCTTTCTCCAGTTTCTTTAATTTTACTGGTTGCTAAGCAGTTAAAACATACCCTACACGCTGATGCTATTTTGTTCTACTTGATTGTACCTCAGTTTCAAGTCTCTTATCACAGTCTGTGAGGAGGAAAACCAGCTTTCCAGAACATGGAAACCCCCCACTCACACAAAGCTGCAAGACCCATCCTTTGGCTTGATTCTGTTAATCATTAGAATGGCTCAAAACATTCAGTCTTTTTTATGGCTGAGAAAATAGATCTATTTTTACAACAAATAACCTGGCCTCAAACAGCTGAGAAAATTAGCTGGTTCACACTGCAGAACAAAACAATTTTGCCAGGGCATAAAGGAGCATTTTCCAGTTAAATACCCAACAGGTTCAGATATCTGTAAGCTCGACTTCTTTTACAGAGCAAATCCAAACACAATCGGGGCTTTATAACCACTCCAGGCATAGCCCCCAAAGCTATAAAGCATCTGATAGAGACTTTTAGTCAGCCTTACTGTTTTACTCGGAATTAAAAATCTGAGGGAACCATTTTTCTTTACTGGGGAAAAACAGCCACTGCCCTTTCTGAAAGATGCTTTCAAAACAAGAAAACATTTAAAATACATTTTATATCAGCAAATTCCTCTTTCACAACCTATTAAAATGCTAAAAGCAAATGCCACCATGGCTACATTGGTCAGATTATTGCAAGATTCAAATCATATTATTTCTATTTATTTATTGAAAAAAAGAGCTTGGCATTCTGGCTTGGATTAGCAATAGTGTGGCCAGAGGACTAGGGAAGTGACTACCTCCCTGTTCACTGATGAAATCACACCACAAATCCTGTGTTCAGTTCTGGGCCCCTCAGTACAGGAAAGACACTGAGGAGTTGGAGCGTGTCCAGAGAAGGGAGTGGAGCTGGGGAAGGGTCTGGAGCACAAGTGTGATGAGGGGTGGCTGAGGGAGCTGGGGGGACTCAGCCTGGAGAAAAGGAGGCTCAGGGGGGACCTTCTCACTCTCTACAGCTCCCTGACAGGAGGTTATAGCCAGGTGGGAGTTGGTCCCTCCTCAGAGGTAGCAAGCCACAGGACAAGAAGAAATGGCCTCAAGTTGTACCAAGGGAGGTTTAGATTGGACATTAGGAATAATTCCTTCATGGAAAGGGCATTAGAACAAGCCACCTGCATGTGGCAGATAATGATATGGTTCAGTGGTGGTCCTGGAAGTGCTGGGTTAATGGCTGAACTCAGTCCTAAAGGACTTTTTCCAAACTAAATGATTCTATGAACACATTTAGTCACAAGTGCATTTTCTTTGTTGTTTCTCCTGTTGCCATACATATTTTTCTGATCATAAGAATTTATATGGAGGGTTGATGAATACTGGTAAGCAGAGGGATGGATGTAAAGCTGAAATGTTCAAATGATGCAAATGTTTTTAATTTAATACAGTTACTTAATTTAGTTTAATTTAATACAGTTACTTTTGTCTTCCATTAACTTGCATTCAGAAAAGTCCATTTGAAGACAAAGTTTCCCCAAAACTGGAGTGGAGCTCAGTTCAATGTGGAGGCTGATGCAATGTACAGCAAAAATAGTAACAAGCATTGCTGGTTCATTAACAAGTGGCAGATAAGAAACAGCTGGAAGTGCAAATATAAATCTAAATTAAGTATACTGCAAAATAAGTTTGAACAGTTTGTTCAGCTGATAAAATGGAAAGACTGAAGAAACAAAAAATATGGTTAACCACAAATTATCAAGATGAATATTCAAGTCACTATTCTGACAAGGTAACAAAGATAAAAAAGTAAAATAGGGAAATCTGCACTTCAAACATGTCTTAAGGGAAAGAGATTTTTGGAACAAGAAGGAGAAGGATCAATGTCAGAGGAAATGGTTTTCCAAGAAAATCACCTAAATTAAGACGTTCCTGTATCAGGAAGTGCCTTCCACCCTGATGGGTTTGTGCCATCTGTGAACACCAAATATCCCACAGAAATTAAAACTGGGATTAAAAAAGAAAAGGAAGCTACACCAAGAATCTTCAGATTTTTTTCTCTCAGAATCTTCTCTAACACTAGAAGCAATAGGTAGAAAATCCTAGATTTAAGTGTTAATTTTACATAAGATATAAAACCAGACAATGGGTAAAAGGATGAGAAAGAGGAACTCAATTACAAAGAGAAGGGGACAGGTAGAAAGAAAGAGAAACATAGCTGTAACAAGATTTGTTATGGGAATAATTTCAAGAAATAGGAACTAATAAAAATAAAGGAAAATAGTTATAGCACAAGTGATTTTGAAGGTCAGCTGGGTCGTGTTCACTGCTTCAAAGCACACTGTTTCTGCAGTTGTCTTCAGAAAGTCACCGCACCTAGACTAGAGATCTGAGTTTGAGGCACCAGTTCCCAGTAATTTCACACATTTGGTAAATGTCAAAGGATCTATGTAATATGCATATCTTAACAAATGTCATTGCACTTAAAAAAAATTCACTTTGCACTCTATGACATTGAAATTTAATGAGTAGCAGCAAAGGAGACCTCAGTCAGCCTTGTCCAGAAAGAGAATCTGAAGAGAACACAAGCCAAGTACAAATGCACCAAGGCACAGTTGCATCCCTAGAAGTGACAGGGCCAAAGAAATTGCAGATAAAAATTATTTAAGAATATAAAGTTGAAGCATGAAAGACAGAAATGATTTGTCAGATAACACTGACCACAGTGCCTTTAGGAAGGAAGCTCCTGGTTGCCATGGCTGACAGCTGGAAGAAGCAACTGTAAAAGCAGTTTAATTGAGTGCAGATGCTGCTCTCACCACTGTATATTGATCATTAGGTATGCTAAAAGAGACAATATTCCATCTATGTCAATACTTCTCTATAGCACCTCCAGGCCTTTTGACCTCAAGTGTTTATGCAGCATCCACATAACTTTTTGCATGCTTTCCCCCCAGTATGTCTGATCTACTTATAAACTGTTCAGGTCAGGGCCATGTATTACCATGAGTTCATTAACCAACCAGTAGAAATGAGCCCCATTCTGAGTTCCTCCCTTGGTGCTAGTCTGTAAAGAAAAATGGCCCTCAAAGATGACTAATTCACCACTGGGTAAAAGTTCAACAGTGGTGAGTAAATATCTAGTTACTAAGTGGACAAAAATAAAATAACAGCATAAAAATGTAGCCACTTCCTTTGATCATAAAAAGATTATGGAGAGTCTGCAAGAAAGTTCTATAGGAATACAAGGCCAAGACTTTTAATTCTTGACCTGCTATTCTATGATGGTCATGAATATACTTGTGCCTATAAAGCAAAAAATATTTGACTACTTGTATAAAAATGTACATTTAAGACTTTCCAAATAGAATTAATTAAAACCACTAACAAGCATTGCTTTAGTCTTCAAAACCTTACTTCAGCAATTTATTATCTGAATGTTACGTTATCCCTAATGACAACAAAAACCTTTTTACTTGCATCAAATTCCAGGTGAAACTTGTTACAGTACTAACCATTTCATAAAAATTTACAGTGTACCAAACTAACATATTCAATACTTCAAATGGATCAAGTTCATGGCTGTGAGTTCTTTAAAATTGTTTTCAATTTACAGAGGAATCCCACAGTGGCAGGTACAAGCCATGTGTATATTCATGATGCATTTGACAAATACAGCATAGTTCAGGACTGCTAAGGAAAATACCGTGCAATCACTTGACCAATTTGATACTTTGGAATATTAGCAATGTTAAAATTAGGAGACTATTAATAGCAGTGTACTGGTCTTACATTTTTCTGCCTCATAAATGCTTTGATATAGAAGTTTTTTCACCAAAGTTACAGTATGGAGCTATACAAGCAGAAGATATATGCCCACTTACATACTTATGCATACATTTATGAGTGGTTTTAACATTACTTTTGTACAGACAGATACCTTCAGTGCTTTGCTGAGACAAAAAAAATTTCTTCAATAGTAGCTGAAATATTTATTTACTAGTTCTTTTTAATACTTATATAGTTTTTAAAGTATTTCAGGTGTAAATTTAATGGTAACAGCAGTGTAACACAACCATTGTTGCACCAGAACTGAATTTAAATATACCTGCTTCTACAGGAATTGGTTTCTCCAGGAGAAAAACTGTCTGTTTCCAGTGTGTTTTGGTACACTGGGGACCAGTGGAAAACGAGACCTGCAATGGAAGAGTTCAAGAGTTTGATTAAGAACAACCTTTTTGATATCACACCACATCAATCATTCACCAAACACACACGAATATGAAGTCTTTGCTACAGCAAAACAGATTCTCTGCCAAACACCTTGAGGCAGAAAAAAAATACACCATCCTCATCTCTCAGAGACATTTTCAAAATGCATAACCCCAAATACCTTGTTGTGACAGTTCTTCTCAAAAAATATATCAAAGTAACCAGCAACTGCCTATAAAAAAAAAAAAAGGAAAACGTAAATACGGTAAAGGAATAATAATGACACTCAAGAAAAAAAATCTATGATCATATATCTCTATGGGAATTTCTACTCCTTTCCAAGCATTTACCAAGAGGAACAAGCTTATATTTAGGATTTCTAGCATGCTTGAAAGCACAAGGCAAAAAAAATAAGCTGCCATCACACCTTTGCTCTACTTGAGAATATTCAGCCCACTGTAACTGCATTTTACTACATATCAAATTTTAGTGTAAGCTTCCAAAATAACCCACACATCTAACTGCAACTAGAATCATACATCAGAAAACAGCCTTTCCGATGTGCAAACCCACAAGCATAAAACTCAGTCCTTGCCCTGTAGGGCTCCCAGGACCCTCAGTAAACACACACACATTATGAGGGAATTGCACGACAAATTCACTCCTTGTGTAGCTGAACAGTATTTTCCACAGAAGCTCCCTGTGAACAGAGGCAGAGCACAACCAGGTAGGGAATATTTTTCTTCCTCTACTACACACATAGATAAGGAAAAAGATTCATAAATGCTTCCCGCTGGCCTTTCCAATAGCTAATAGTTTCTAATTGTAACTCTCCATAGGATTCCTCCTCTGTCCCTCCTGCCATCCCACTCCTAAACTCAAGAAGAGTCTTTCTCTTCAGTGCCTAATTCAGCAGTGGGATTTCCAGTTTGAAGAGGAAAAGAAATCACAGAATGGTCTGGGTTGGAAGGGACCTTAAAAATCACCCAGTTCCAATCCCTGCCATGGGCAGGGACACCTTCCACTAGGCGAGGTTGCTCGAAGTCCCACCTAACATGGCTTTGAACACTCCCAGGGATGGAGCAGCCACAGTTTCTCTGCCTCAGTGCCTCACCACCCTCAGAGGGAAGAATTTCTTCCAATATCCAAGAGATACAAAATATTCACATACAAAGCAGTGTACCCACAATTTTAGTTACACAGTCTTTTAATGCTGGACTGCTTTTTTGACAAAAAAAGCCTTGTGGGAGTCCCAGAAATCCAACGTATTCAAATAAACAACTGGAAGATGCTAATAAAAGAGCATCCACTCCAGTTTCACCCCTGAAATCCTGTCCATGCTCACCTTTATCTGCTTTCTGCTGTCAAATGAGAAAGGTTAAAGCACCTCAGACCCTGGGCCCAAGGCAGCTGTGCTTTTCTATTACATGACAGCCTGGAGAAATGACCCAGAATAGAGTTTTTGAGTAACTGCAACCACAGTTGTGTTAAAGTTACTCAACTGGGGACTCCCTGCATCCCTGTCATGGAAGGGAGGGAGGGATTCTCCCCAGGTCAGCTGTAGTGCACTCAAACAAAATATGTACCAATTCAATGATGGAAAGCCTGTGGCATGAAAACCCACTGAAAACCACCTATTATAACCTCCCTCTCACCGCACCAGTATTTCTCTCCTACTCCAAGATTAGGAAACTGGTTGTTCTGAATAGCTAAAAGGATGAGTCCTGTGGCATGCTCTTCATATAGATTCACACATAGATTGTGAAGGAAAAAGAAAGTCAAATATGCTTACAAAATTAAGGTATAGGGCTTTATCATTATGACATATATAATCTGAATAACAGCTAGGCCATTCTGGTTTTTTCCTCTCTAGTCTAAACCCAGAACAGATTTCACCAACACAGTGGAGAATACAATGTGTTAAAACAGTAAAACAATGCTAAAGTACCTATGTTAGCTTTGAGACCAAGAGCACTCCAGAGAAGCCTGGTAAGTTCCAAATTCTAACCTGGCCAAAGAGTTAAAAAAAAAAACAACTATGGAGACACCAACAGACCTTCATGACAAATGAGCATCAGACAGTGTAAACAGTGACTCTTCCAGTCCTTCAGTAAAGTCCTATCACTCAATGCTGAGAATCTCATTCCCAAGTGAATTACAGCCTTGCCTCTAATATGCCTTTTTGAGTAAAGATTGAGAAGGTTTTGACAAAGTTTTATTGACCCATCAGACTACTTTTATTGATGCACAATGTTTTCTGGACATTAGTCAGAGATCTACTAAGCCATAAAAATATTTTTCCATCATCAGGTCAATACTGCTGGTATGCTTACAAATAAGACCTAAGATAAGATCACTAAGATAAGATAAGGAAAACAAGGTTGTGACAACAAAAATACATCGAGGAGAAAAAATCTGGTTTCCAGAGAAAACAAGACAATCAAGCCACATCTTGGAACAAAAAGCTAAAAGCTCCAAGCAGACAGACCACAGCCAAGCATCTATACACTTGGTAACAAGAGGTAACAGAAACACCCTATATGCTACCCTGAGAAAACTTCCCCACACTACTATTTTTTGGGGACAAGCTCGGGTTGCAAAGAAACTCAGTTACAAGCAAAACTGTTCCCTGCTGCCTCCGGTGTTCAGGGAAACAGGCTTTGTATCTTCTGTAAATGACTAGGATAAATAACCACTTCATAGTAACAAGTTTCTCTATCTGAAATAACCCGAAACACTGACTTTGAGTATCTAATCAAGAGGTAGTAACAGTAATTATTACATCATAAAGACCGCCTTAATCAGAGGTCCAGGGATTACAGAGAGCAAGAGTTCTACACTGATACATTCATTTCTTTTTGTTATGTTCTAAAATGGATAATGTCCTTCAGTATAGAATAGTGAAATAATTGTTGAGCCAAAAGAAAGAAAACATAGAAAAATATTATTACTCAAGTTCCTAAGGATAAGCTCCTGTGAACAGCTTCAGGCATTTCCCAAAATTCTGTCAGTTAAAACTGGGCAGTGGAGGCATCCCAAAATCAAAACATGTACTCCAGTGAGTTGTGTCAACAGGCAACCTACACAGTCCTACATAGCAAAACAGAAATTATATATTTTAAGTTAAAAAAATAGAGGAGAGAGTTTGAATGATGTTTTGAAAACTAACTGTAAGAACACATATTGCAATTGAGAAGTCTAATGAGTATCTTTCATTAATACATTTTCAAAATGGTTTTGAGCCAACTAAAAGAACCAAACACTTGGTTTGATGACTTTCTTTGTGAAATTGGTTACAACTACGCAATTTGCTTTTAACAAATGTTTTTAGGCAACCTGCCATCACTTACCAACACTATGTTTAATCTCCACATAGCAATCTCTTCCCTCATATTAAAGAAATCTAACACCAAACCCAGTAGTTACTGACCACTTGCAAAATTTGTCTAGTATTCCCTGTAACAGCTATTCTACAACCCAACTGCAGTTGAGAAAACACAAGAGTGAAAAAGCACAGAATAAATATATCCCACTTTGATGCACCTAGCCTATGGCTGACCCTGTAATATAAGAAACTAAAAAAGTTTAAACCTGCAGTTCAACAGAAACACAGTTCTTTGCAGATACTGAGGGAATAAGGGTAAGCTCAGGTCTATGGTAAAGCCTCCCAGTAACTCCAGCCTACATTAACTACCTTCTTCTTTTCCTCTTTTTGATTTCACATGGAAGATTTCATGTGTTAGATTACATGTGCTTCCCTGCCAGTAACATCCCTTTGAAAGGTATTCAATTTATCCAAATTGTAGATTATTTTCATGAAGTAAGTTCAGGTTTATTTCTGAACAGACACCCTACATTTTTAAATTCACCAGCTCTTTTGAAAAAAGGGATTGTTCTATATGGTCCTCTGTAGCTTACGTACATTCCTATGCTCATCCAAACACTAAGCAATGCTTAAATTTTTAACTATACTGTTGGTGTTTTGAGATCTTTCTGCTTTTGAGCTGTTCTGTCACATTTGGCCTGCCCCAGGCCTAAGGGATCTCAAGCCAGCTATACAGGTACCCCCAGACTCATTACAAAGAGCACACCTGGCCTTCCTAAAACCTATCAGGTGATTCTGCAGAACAATAAAAGCAACTGGGGCAATTGGCTGCTCCTGGCTTGGATGAGTGTATTCTTCACTGAGTACAACAGCAGCTGGAGGGCAGAGCCCAAAAAGCAGTGGCAAATAAAGTTAAATCCAGCAGGACCAGGGCAGTGATCAACCCTCTGCTCTCAGCACTGGAGAGGCTGTACCTCAAATCCTGTGCACAGTTGTGGGCCCTTCACTGCAAGACAGACATTGAGGGGCAGGAGTGTGTCCAGAGAAGGGAATGGAGCTGGGGAAGGGTCTGGAGCACGAGTGTGATGGGGAGCAGCTGAGGGAGCTGGGGAGAGGAAAGGAGGCTCAGGGAGGACTTTCTCACTCTCTACAACTCCCTGACAGGAGGGGGGAGCCAGGTGGGAGTCAGTCTTGAGGAAATAGCCTCAAGTTGCGCCGAGGACGGTTTAGATTGGATATTAGGAATAATTCCTTCACAGAAAGGGCTGTCAGGCATTGGAACAGACTGCCCAGGGGAGGAGTGGAGTCACCATTCCTGGAGGGATTTAAAAGTCATGCAAATGTGGCACTTGGGAACATGGTTTAGTGCTGGACTTGGCAGTGCTGGGGGAATGGCTGGACTCAAAGATCTTTTCCAACCTACACAATTCCATGATTTAATGCCTCTGGAAAAGTATTGAAGGATACAAAGGTGCAATGCTTTATTATTTGTCCTCTCAGTGTTTTGCAAAAAGCTTTCTATAAAGCATTAGAATTTCTGCTTCTACATGAAGCAGCAGGAATCACAGAATACTCTGAGTTGGAAGGGACCCATGAGGATCATCGAGTCCAACTCTTATGTGAACGGCCCATACGGGGATGGAACCTGCAAACTTGGCATTATCAGCACCACACTCCAACCAGCTGAGCTCATGTTTGGTGCTCTCCTTGAAAGAGCTGTGCAAAACTAAAATGTCTGGCAGCGCTAAGAAGTCTGTTTCAATACACTCAAAAAACCCCTAAAACAAAACAATCACTATCACTTTTAAGGTGTATTAGCGTAAGCACTGCACCCCTCCAGAAATGATCTGGTACCCCACATTAATGTACTGGGAAAAGGGAAAAAAGGGTCTGAAGTAAAGTACATGCAGATGATGTTTTCCGCAATTTTATCTACAGTCAGTAGTCTTGTATATTTAATAAAAACAAAATCTTACAAATCTAAAAACCAACACAAATCAAAGTTGAAATACTTGATAATAATAAGCTACTATAAAATTGTGGGTTTCATTACTTACTATCTTCTTTTAAGGAGTTTATATCTTCCCTCACATCTTAGCTTCTTCTCTTTTTTCATTCATTACTTGGTGGTTTTATGCCAAAATGCACAATACGTATCTTTTATTTTCAAGTGCATTTCAGAGAAATAATTCTGTAAAAGTGAAGTTCGAAATATTTTCTTTTCATTTCACTTTCGAACGCTACCACAAACTGCAGTAGCCATAATAATCACGAACATCTATTAAATATGCAATACTACAAACTAAGATTTCCAATGTTTACAGCTTGAAGGAAGATTAAGTCCTCCCCTCTTGTTGTATAATTTATCATATGAAGCAAAATATGATGAAAACAAAAATCACTTAACTGGCACACTAGAAGCAATCACAGACACAAGTGTATTAAAATGAAATATAGGGCTGGCCAGATTTTCATTAAAGGTGAAATCTTTTTTTACAAGAAGTCAAACTAAAGAAAAAGAACATGCAAATAACTCCCCCATAAATTCTAGATGATGTTTTACAACTACTGACTTCGTTTCTTTTTCTTCTTGGTTGTTTGTTTTTTTTTTTAAGTATAATGACAACAGTTATTTCTCCTACTGTAACTTCCCTCATCTTTTTGCTCCACCTTTGACAGCTCATTTACAACTTCACCAACAACTAATCAGTGAGAACTTAAACCTACTCTGGAAAAATCTTTCAAGTGGCAGTCTCTTGAATACCATGAAAGAGGAAAACAAAAATAATGACTTCTAAACTGGTAATAAATAACTACAGCTCCAGCCTGACATATGCTCTAATCTCAAAGGATGTTAAATATTAGGAAACACTACCAAAATATTATTCTTCCTGTTCTCCAATAACTTGCCAGGAGAAAAGCTGAGCTATGAGGACAAAAACTCCAACTCCAAAAGAAAGTCAATATATTTACCCAGGCAACTAAGAACGTGTAATAAAGAACAAAGGAAACATTTAGAAATAGAAATACATTACTGAAACTGCAAAGCAACATCCCAGAAAGGTCAACAAAAAGCTCACTCAACTAAGAATAAAAGATTCCTGAAATTAAAATAGCAGCCACTAACTTCTACCTGATTTTGTCAAACCCACATTTTGATGGAGAGTTCATGCAGCTTAAGGTCTTCATCCATCACTGAGGGTTCCTAAGGTGTTCATGCAAACAGGAAAATCCTGTAAATTAAGCACATCCTCCCAAGTAAGATTCACTTCTCTTCAACCTATTTCTTCCCCCATGGATAAATAATTTCGAGACTATTTTTCTCCCCATTTATTCACATAACATGCACCAAATATATTAAAGTCACAAAAAGCCTTAACATATTTAATAAATTAGTATTAGTACATATAATTTATAGTCTTCCACTTAGAGCCCTTAGCTGAAATGGGAAAAAGAGTCTAAATTTTAATTCAAATATATCTGACACGAAGGCTTTTTTCCTAAAGAAAATGGCTGGCTGTGCATGCAGCATTTTAACAGGACAAAACAAATGAGACTGCCTGTTTCCTTGTGAGAACTCAAAGGCAACCTTACCAATTCACTTAGGAGTACGGAAATTAAAAATTATCATCATCACTATCACCTACAGTGAGTAATTTATCATTCTTGCTCTTCAGCAGTATCATGTTCCAACAGTGAGTGGCTACAACAAATACAATTAGACAGCTGGCCACAGAAGTGGGAGATAATGTGCTTTTGATGGAGTTTATCCAAGCATGGAGATGGAATGTTTGTCGTCCATGCAGCAGAGTTGCTGCGTTTTTATCACAGGGAAAAGAAATCCCTGGCTATTAAAACCCAATAATTTTGTGTTTTAAAGATTAATAATCTGGAGCTCACTGCAGAGGAGGCTACAGATTATAAATGAGAAGGAGAAATCCTGCTTTGTAACATGGTGGAGTAGTATTTCCTTTACTCAGAAATCAGGCATTCAAGGTGTGTTTAACTGTGGTACTCAAATCCAGATTTCCAACTTCTAGTTTAAAAAATTCAGTTTCTCACCAAGTGTGAGAACCAAAGACTCCTATGTTAATACTTATTGTTGGTTCTGAAGTGGATGACTGGATGTTAAGAAATGAAACTATCTTAACATTTAAGAAGAATTTAGTCAGAATAATTTTCTCTAGTCACCTTAACTTCCATTTCCTTCCTGAAGGTTTTAATACATCAGTCACGTCCTCTGGTTCATTATCCTTCTTTCACCCCCTTCCTCCCTCCCACTTTTTATACACATCCCCTGCTCTTTGACAACATCTCCTGGGAGCAATGAAGAGATACTGCCATTTTCCTCTTAGGGGATATTGTTATTCAGCTAGGAAAGATCAACCTCGATGGACTCACAGGGGAAATGCTCGCAAACAAAAGAGAAAGTTTGTCAATTGATTTCCATACTGAGGGTAATCACCATTATATTTTATCTCAAAAGCTCACACAGTGATCAACTTGGAATACAATTAATAGAGTATTTTTCTAGCAGCATCTACTGACTGATATTAGCCAGATGTCTCATTAAAATCAGCAGTGACAAACCTTAGCTCTTTACCAGCAAAATGCACTTTTGCAGCCTAATTAAATTTTTTTTTGGCCATTATGTTTGTAAGACTGAAATCAAGTCAGTTTGCAAAAAAGTGCTTTGGAATGTTTTCATACAATGATTCCATGCAACCGTTCCATGCTTTGAAAATCTTCAATCTTTGAAAGCTAATACTGATAAATAAAATTAATGCTGGAAGAGACTGCTTTGTGGCAAACCATGCCAGGAATAAAGGAAAAATTAACAGAAACAATATGTGCTCTGAAAAAAGCCATAACTAAACCCCCTCATAACTTTTGAAAGACTGAGCATCACACAGAAGGTCATATTTAAAATACTCTTTTTTTGCTCAATCATTTCATATTTTCAAGTTCATTAGGATTTTTTTTTCTTGAAGACTTGATAATTTCTTGAACATCTGGAAGAAAAAGCTATTTAGAGCCTTAAGCATTTTTAAGGATATGACTCGATACATTGCAGCATCATCTGCAATACACTCAAGATGCACCTACAGCAAGACATGAGGCTGATCTCTTACAAGCACAACTTAATACTCTGATAGGTCCTTTTTTTGGTCATACAAAAGTATGAGAGTAATTTCAAATAATTTATAGGTGGGAGGACAGATAGATCAATGTGCCAGTGCTATGCTCTTGGGTTTTGTGAACTGCTTAGTTTTCCTATTTCACACAAGCTCATCACGCCGTCTGGGCTTCATGTCCTCACAACCAGAAAACAGTCAGCCTATTGTCTACTGAGGAAGAACCAAGGACAGATTTTAGAGGAATTTAACATCTTTTTACATGTGCAGGTAATGATAGGACAAGGGGGTTTTAAACTAAAAGAGGAGAGATTTAGATTAGGTACTAGGAAAAAATTCTTACTGCGAGGGTGGTGAGGCCCTGGCACGGGTTGCCCAGAGAAGCTGTGGATGCCCCATCCCTGGAAGTGTCCAAGGCCAGGTTGGATGGGGCTCTGAGCAACTTGATCCAGTGGGTGGCATCCCTGCCCATGGCAGGGGGGTTGGAACAAGATGACCTTTTGAGTCCCTTCCAACCCAAACCATTCTGTGATTTTGCCACAGAAATGTGAAGTGCAGCCTCTCCTGCCTGAGGGATCCTGGAGGTGTTCCAAGTCGTAGTCAGAGCAAATGTGACAACGAGCTGGCAAAAAAACTGCATTATGGTTCTGATTCCTGCCAGCTTTTACAACTTACTGTCCTATTACCATAGCCCTGCACGCAAGTTGATGGGAGGAAGCCACAGACACTTCTGTGGCTATTGCCTCCAGGGCTGTCGGCTCAAAGTTCAGCTCTGAAACCATTATGTTACATACTCCAACTAGAAGAGCCCGTAACTCTTTTCTCTGAATACTTGCTAAATTACTTCCCATCGGTGCAAAGCTGCTGCAAAAACAAGTTCAGGAACAGCAACCCTGCATTCATTCTGTGCTGCTGACACATTTCAATGTAAGAATGTCTACCTTATGCTGATCTGCAATAGGATCCCCAGAACAATTAACAGATCAATGTGCACCCAAGTTTTCCACTCGTTTGGTTTTTAAAGACAGATTACTCCACAGAGTTCTGTTTCTCATGGTAACACTGGTCTGATATTAGTTTTGCTGTTGATGGCAACAATGAATAAGACAACCAAATCTGTTTCCACACTTCTATGGCTGAGAAAAAGCTGTTTTGAAATGAACTTTAGGTTGTGAGTTTAAAAAACCCAGATATATACAAGCATACAAGGATGGATTTCCAAATTGCCATTTTCATGGAATATTTTATTGTAAATAAAACAAAAATATTTTAAAATGTTTGTATTTCAAAAAAAAAACCAAACCTGCAGAAATCATAAGAGACAAGTACAAAACCATAGAATTGTGGGGAAATATAAGCAACTTTCTCTTTTTGTGCAGAAAATGAAAACAAAACACTTAAGCAAACAAGAAAAACATTAAATATTATTTTTCAAAGGACAAATTGCAATCTTAAAGCATCTCCTCAAAAATTCTCAACATAAATAATGGACTTTTATTGTTCATTTACTGCAAGGTTAGGCAGCCTGATATGATGGATGAACTGTCAACTCTCAACTAAACTTCTACAATCCATCATAGAAAGACTGGAAATTTCACTCAAAGTGTCAATAAACCTAAATTATGAAGTGCAAAATACTTTACAGCATTCTGATCATTTTTTAGAACCTGCACTTGCTGCAAAATTTCAGAAACACTGCTCTTCCCCCACTTCCCTCCCCTTCTCCCTGGAAGTCATAAAATGCAGGTATACATCTTGATTTATAAGTCAATGATACCACAGAATCACAGAAGAGAAATGAAGTTTCTGTAAGAGTGTGGTGCTGGGAAAAACAGTATTTATAAAATAAGCTATTTTACTTTACCCGAACATCAAAGATGGCTAAGATTTTGCGAAGATTTCTGTTGAATCAGTTATTTAAATGTGGCCATATTAAGAAAATTAAACCAGGGCTGCAGTGGAGCTTGATCTCAAGTCAAATCTGACCCTGTCTTGATGCAACTAGAATTACCCTATGATTTGATGACAACTAAAAACAGGAGGGGTTTTTTTTGTGTATGCACAATAAAACACGCAGATTTCCATTTAATAAAACCCAAGATGTTACTGTGTCTTTACTTAATTTGGTGATAATTGACAAATAAATATGAAGTATTTGTATGCATCTGCTAATTCAAAATTATAAAAATGATTTAAACTATATACAGGGGAAAATTTCACTTTATGACACCAACAAACTCTTATGCAGGTTCTTAGCAAAAACACTGGCAAATGCAGCAGCATGGACTAACACCTAGACTCATCCAAAACTAGGAATTACTTTGTTTGATGTAGGTATCCAAGATTTTCTTATCAGCTTAAGTGGTTTACATCATACAGAAACATATTCTTTGTGTGTGTATCAGAGGAAGTCTGCATCTCTTCTTCTTATACACGTGCAAATCCAAATAAACCAGTTCAGGCAGACTTAATCACAGTATATTAAATATTAGCTAACAATCACCATTTTAGGGTGGTAACTGAGATGTGACTTAAAGCTAAGCATGAAACTCCAGCAAGAGTTTCACAATACACTAGACTGCAAAAAGTTTAGTTTTTACTACAGATCTCAGAGCCTAATGGAAACTTTTGTCAAATTTGATGAGGAAATTTTAATAAATTACAGAAAGCATTTAAAATCTGTATTGAATATAAAAGTAAATTACTGAGACAATAAAAATCTATAAAAATTAGGCCATCCTGCCTTTGCTTATAATGTAGTGTTTAAAAACTCAATGCATTACTTAGCCAAGCTAACACCAGACTTTGTCATCTGTACCTCATCTTTATCCCAACTGTCCTGCCTAATGGCAGAACAAAAATCCTTCTAATTGATTCTTTTATCACTTATTCCACCAAAAGAAGCAAGTTGTGCACCATAACTAAGTCAAGTCATAAAGGTATCCTCACAGAGGCATCAATCTAAACACTTCTAAATGTTCATGTTGGAATACCTAATTTATTTTAGCTTTAAACACATTCTTAACATCTTTATTTCAGAAGTCACTCACACCCTCCCAATGAAGTATGTTAAATAAAAATATTTAGGTATCTTCCCTGACTCATACTTCAAAAATGGAACACAAAATACACAACACAAATTGCATGAGCCCTTGAAGAAAAAGAGGGACATGTTTCATTAATAAAAAAAAAAAAAATCAGTGTTTCTCCGTTTTCTCATAACTACCAGATACTGAATGATGAAGAAATGTCATAGAATGAATGTGTATTTATGGGAATTCATACTGAACAAAGTAGGCACAACTTCAAAGAAGTGTTTGAAATATGCCCTAGTACAGAGTTTTCATTTAATTCTAAAGCTCAGATTAAAAACTTTCTTTCTTCTTTTCTTTCTTTTCACACTGACTAGTGTCTGACAGACAAAAACTCAATTGAGTGATATCACACTTAGGTTTGCTGAGATTCTTCACTCTATTTAATGCAGCATAATCTGTAAAACTAAGATGAATAGTTTGTGCTCACTGTAATTACAACTCCCCTCCAACCAAATTCTACAGCCTTTCTAGAATTAGTGTTCTGTTGAACTAAGTCACAATAATTTACATAAAATGCAAATACTAACTTGCATACAATAAATAAAACATATATAGTAAAAACCCTGGTTATCAGATTCAGATCCTAATGCTGTATTTGTTCCCCCCAGCTTTCACATCCAAAGTTCATGAACCTCCCTGCTGGAGAAGCTCTCTTTGCCATACGAACTGCTGGGTGTTCAACACACTAGCTACAATCTACACCTTTCCCACTTCTACTTTGTTTTTCACATTTTTACTAAACTCAGAAAAGCTCTTCTGAGAGCAGTGACTGCATCATTCTTGAGCACAGGGGAAACAACAAGTCCGAACAGAAAACTCGTACTTCAGAAAATGGGCTAGAGAACAAAACAGAATGATTCTAATGCTACAGCTCCTTACCTTTCCCTCTCCTCATCCACCTCTATTATCCTGTAACACTATCACTGGAGTTTTATATCCATCTCTCTTTACAGAAAGGGCTTATTTGACACCTCTATACTGCAGAAATGAATGTTTCAAGGCAAGGACTGATGATAAATGAAGCATAATTAGTGCATTGTCTCTCAGTCCAGTGCAATACTGACCATATATGAAGAAACTAAAACTGTCTTACCGTGCACTTTGTGCTCATTGTAATGCTCAGGGTGAAATCTGAAGAGAATTCCAAGTCTGGAGAGGATGCAGTATTACAGTCGATATGCTGTCAAAAAGAATAATAAAATTCTGTCAGTAACAGTGATTAATGTCAATTAAGATCTCCCTTTGGATGAAGGCTGTTCAGTCGCTCCCGCAATAGGACAACTTTTATAGGGCAATACTAATTCAGCTCTCCAAAAATGGGAGAGACTTACAAACCATCTAATTCCATGTGACAAAATACCTCTAACTCCTTTTCCTCACGTGCCCAAATAACCAGACACTGACTAGCAGTGGTATGAAACTAGACACAGTAGCTCATTCTGTTCAGGGAATGAGGAAAGGGAAGTTGCTCCTTGGTGACAGCTACCCATTGTTGAGTGTAAGTAGCCTCCACAGGCACCTTTACCTGTTTTACCCCTTGTTCCTGCAGTCACATAGTGAACTACAGTATGACACTGATATGGGTTAAAGCTGGTCTTTTTCAATTTCCCAGATTGGTTTTGTATTGATCATAGAATAACTGAGGTTGAAAGGGACCTTAGGAGATCACTAAGTCCACTGCCCTGCTCAAAACAGGGTCAGCTACAGCAGGTTGCTCAGGATCATGTCCAAACAGCTTCTGAAAATCTCCAAGGATAGAGACTCGGCAACAACTCTGGGCATGCTGTACCACTGCTCAAATGTCCTCACAGTAAAAGTGTTTCCTAATCTTTAAAGGTAACTGCCTGGAGATCAATCTGTGCCCACTGCTTCTTGTCCTGCCCCTGAGCACTGCTGCAATGAGTCTGAGTCTGGCTCCACCTCCCGTATTCACCACCACCACCAAGAATTTACACACATTGGTAGGATTTCCCCTGAGTCTTCTCCACACAAAACAATTCCAGCTCTTTCCACCTCTCCCCATATCAGAGATGCTCCAGCCCCTTCACCACCTTTGCAGTCTTCAGACTCACTCCAGGACAGTCACCTCACTCTTGCATTGGGGAACTCAGGGTTGAACACAGCACTACAGAATTCACGTCCCTGGGGTACAGCCAGCTCCCTGGGGTGCAAGAGAAGATGCATCTCTCTTGAGCTGCTGGTCCTAAGTCTTCTTCCTAACACAGCCTAGGAGGCTGCTGGTTGTTGCCTTTGCCACAAAGTGTGTTTTGCTGGCTCACGGTCCACTTGATGTTAACCCAAATTCCTCTCTGCAAAGCTGCTTTCCAGCCAGTAGGCTCCCAGCCTCTGCTGGGGTTATTCTTCCTTCCCCTCTGCAGGATTTTGCACTGCACAAATTGCAACTTTCATTTCAATAGTCTAATTTTTTACTTTTATATCTATCTGAAATCAGAGCTTTCATAGAAGAATAAGCTTCAGTTTTCAGTTGTTCATAACAATTCCACCAGATCTTTTCTGTGTTCTTTAGTTTACATACTCAGTTAAAATGCTTTATCCAAAAATATCATATACTGCTAAAGTTAAAAGCATATATGTAGGCAATCCAGGAGACTCCTGGAATGCATGGGGGATAACTTCCTGAGCCAAAAAACAGACAGCCCTATCAGAAGGAATGTGATACTGATGGTCACCAACGTAGGCAAACTAACTGGGGACATCAAGACTGGAGGCAGCCTGGGCTGCAGTGATCATGCACTGGTGGAATACGCAGTCCCAAGGGATATGGGTCAGGTAAGGGGTAAAGTTAAGCCCCTGAACTTTAGGAAAGGGAGTGCTCAGAGCTGGCATGTATTTAAGGAAGTCTCCCATAGCGCACAAGAGCTGGTAATCCCCAAGAGCAAGAAACTGAGTTCACCCTCAGTAAGCTGAGCGGTGCAGGTGACACACCTGGAGGACAGGTGTGCCCAGAGGGGCCTGGACAAGCTACAAAACTGGGCCTCTCATGAGGCTTAACAAGACCAAGTGCAAAGTGCTGCACCTGAGGGTGGGGAGGCCCTGGCACAGGTTGCCCAGAGAAGCTGTGGCTGCCCCATCCCCAGAAGTGTCCAAGGCCAGGTTGGATGGGGCTGTGAGCAACCTGCCTATGGCAGGGAGGTTGGAACTGGATGAGCTTTAATCCAAAGCTTTCTATGATTCTTCACGCTGCCTCATCTTTCTTACAGAATGTTTTGCTTCCAGAAAAGTTACCTTATGAACTACATAAAACAAGCAGCACCTGATCTGAACAAACACACCAAAGTATCTTCTGCAATAATCATAATGATAAATTGGAACATTTTTAAACTTACCCTACAAAATATAGTCCATTTGTTCTGCAGAATGGCTATTGATTCAAACAATTTACCTATAATGCCACTGTTGCTCAACTCATCAATTTTACTACTTTGCATTGAAACTCCAGCAAACGAGCACATGCATTGATTTTGAGTTATTTTAAAAACCGTGATGGCTAATGAGAACAAATGAGCATAAAGCCATTAAGCACAACAGTTATGCTACAGGCTGCATGATGATAAAATTTGCTAAGCCCATACCTCTGAGCTGGACAGTGACTTCTCATGAACAGCATATGTATTACAAAGAGACATGTGTGCACTATTACTAGTAAAGCATTTTGCTTCTGAAATGACCATGGCTTATAAACTGCATTGGACATATTTAACTTCAGTTATTGTTATCAACACTCTTCAGGTTGATATGTTGTTTTAATTTATTTGCTTGCCTAACAAACTGATCACTCACTCATTGCACCACCAAACCTGTCAAATGGCAAACAGTTACTACTTAGATTCTCGACCTCAGTACCTTTGTTTCGTGCACGCTTATTCACTAAGGTTGGAATTTACCTTCCCTACTATGACAGGACTATAAAGTGTATTTCAACAACTGAGTCTCAGCACTTCCTTTATTTGAATACCCAGTTTAAAAAACCTAATACCTTTAAATCTTCTCTGTAATAAAAACATAGACAAGAAAAGTTTAAGTAACTTGCACTTGGATATACCTACAACTAAGCTGCACCTCCCCTGTTTCAATACATTTAAACAGAAATTACCTCCTTACTAAACAGGTAATTCCCACCAAGGGCAGTAATATTACTGCTTTGAGTGCTTTATAGTAGAAAAGTAACTATATGAACAATAATTAGAATACCATTGTGGCAAAACGTTCTTGGTCTAGAATAGCCCTTCTCTCAATTGATCTGAGCTGTTCAAACTATTACTAATCACAAAGTTCACCACAAGTTCAAACTAGTCAGTGCTCTGGAACATGTAGATGTTCTCTCATATGAATCACTACCAACTTTGCTGCTATTCCTCATCATAACACTGCCTTACAAGAGACAGGACAGAAAAGCAGGCATAAATAATTCAGGAAGTACTGTAGGAACTACTGCTCTTTCAGCCCTGGTTATTTAGCTGGATGAAGCTTTGGGTGATAGTGAGTGATGGTCCAAAGGACCTGTAACACCAGCTATCTTAACACAGAAATAGATAAGAAGCCCCTTTGCTCAGTACACTGAGTGAAGAGGGAAGCAAAGTAAAAGAAGAGACTATATTACAGTTTACATTCCAGTTCCACAACTTGTAACCTACTAAAATGCAAGTTAATTTGGGGTTGGATAGAAGAAAACATTGGACAGAACAACTTAAATATGGGAAGACTACTAAAAGCTCAACGTTGGTAAAAAAAAAAAGCAACTGATACAAATCTTCCAGTCTTAACAGCAAGAACCTTATTGCATTTGTATCATTTTGAAGATGCTGAAGTTTGTGTGTGCCACCTGCATTTTTCCCCCCTCCCCCATAAACCAAGGAAACTTCTAATCTGACTACTATTCATTAAGTAGTATGGTACCTTAATGACACTGGCTGAAGATATCAGTGTGTTTGGATCCAGCACCTCAACAACAGCTTCTGGAATTACAGCTTTCTTCATACAAGACATGTCGAAGCCATATACATCTTCCCAGAAAAGTAGCTTGTCCATATGTTTATTCATATCCCCAACAGCTACCAGACTAATGGTGCAAATGTCAGGATAAACTGTAAAAGAAAGAGAGTAGTGAAATTTTATTTTAGACACACATAAAGAGGACTTTTTTTTTTCTTTTCTAAGTGATTAACATCTTAAAAGAACAAACAGAATAAATTTTTTTAGCTCTTGGACAAGACACTTTTTCTGCTACTTTACTTTGTAGAGTTCCATTAGTCCTCAGAGGAGACTAGACATAAAAATTTAATAATATTTCCTATTCATGACAAAACACCTTTGTAGTTGAAATCCTACTGCAAGGAAATGATCAGAAACTTGATGTCTGAAGAAAATCATTTGGAACATCCTATTCTGGCTTCTATACAAAGACTGATCTAAAATATATTTAATAACTGTAGGCAGACACTCAAAAGGAAAATTCAGGTGAGGGCTTTGCAATAACAAGAAACCTCTTTGAAAAGACCTTACTTCCAGAAAAGAGTAAATATTCTTACTCAAGAGTTTTATTCCTTTTTGTTATCGGCTCTAGCTGACACTTGCCTTACAGCCTAAAAAATTATTTCTGGGTACTGGAAAAGAATAACCACTTTTCTGTCTGCACCTGAAGTGTAGGAAGTGAACCAACAGACAGCAGAGAACCTCATCAACTCCCTCCCTCCCACTTTTAGGATAACAACTATTATTCTTCACATTTGTGCCTTCCTTTCTCCCAAGAATATCTTCAGAGCAGGTAACTACAGCTTTTCCAAACAGTAGTGGAAGACTGACATCTACCTTTTCAACAGCTGCCAACAAAGTTAGTCAACCTCTTGGCAATCTCAAATGATTGGAAAACCCACAAAGAAGAGCTGCTATGAACATGGCTGTCTATAGCACTATCAAATAGTAAAAGAAACTCAATTTATATTTAGCAAGGCTTCTTTTCACAAAGACATTCCCATATTTTTTTTCTTAAGAGTATTAAAGCCTCTAAAGCCACATATATTGAATTCTTGATCTGGCTTCAGAACAAAACGCCTGCTAATAAACATCTTATTTTATTTTATTTTTTATTAATACATGAATGTGGCAGTGTTAATAAAACTGAAGCTAAGTTTCTCTTTTCCTCCCCAAGATCTGGTGAACTGTAAAATTAATTTTGTCTTCTGCTCTGTTTAAAATTATAGCTTAGCAAAATGGATATGGAGACATCATTGGTATGGCATGGTAAGTCAGAAAAGCAGTACCTCCTGCCCTGTACAATGCTGAAGATAGAAACAACAAATTGAAATAAGACCTTTCATATAGCCAGAGTAGTTGTAGCCTAAACAAAATAAATCTTATAAATATTGATGATAGAGAATAGGTTTTTTTAAAGAAGTTTTTTTTTTGTTATATAAAGACTTGAAAGTAAGCACACTGTCATCTTTCTCACTTTCTGACTGTTTAAAACAGAATGAATAAATATCAGCAAGCTTCAATTGGAATCCTATTGGTAGGCTATTATCACCCCTACTTTGCAACTGAGGAACCCTGAGGAGGTTTCTCCAGGAACAGCCTACAATTAATTCAGCAGTAAAAAAGCAGTTTGATGAGAATTCAAACAGGAAGACATTCCCACTGCTTTGTCTGAAACAAATCCCTTGGTTCCAGCACACCTGACAGCTGTCACACAAGCACAAAACATCAACATCTGGTGGTAGGAGTATTTGCAGGGAGATTCTGGAGCCATCAATAAGGGATGTCTAATTCTCAAAGCTTTCATGCTGCTGTTACCTGGTGTAACAACTGCATCACACTTGGCTTTACCTCACAGCATTTCAAACCTTCAAGAACCACCACTGATGCTCCAAAAATTAAAAGACAGTGTGACACGGACAACAAAAGCAAATGAGAACAGCCTTTGAGGGACTATTTTTCAGGGAAATAGACTTCGTAGGATGCAGTGGTATGGTGAGAAGAGAGATGAAAAGACTGGCAGTCTATAAATAGGCAGTCCCTATTTACAGAAGACACTTACGTACTAGAAACAGTGCAACAAAAATGAAAACCACAGTAACAAGTGATCAAATACTTTATGATCTTCCTTTCTCAGACTAGCTCTAATTTCCGGGACATTCTGTAAACAGAAAAGAAGTTTATCAACCTCTATCAAGCATGAAATATTTGAACTGGATCATAATCAGTTTATATTAAATCTCTTTGTTCATACAGCAAATCCTTAAATCAGCAGTGGAGCTCATGATCGATTGTACAAAGTGCACAAGAACAAGGACAAATGTAAACACTAAATGCTCCAATCTAATCTGCATTTTTACTTTAGTCTATTAATAGCAACAAAAGTAGACAATGTCTGTTCAGACTTCACAAAAAGAAACCTGTGTTCCACCAACAGGGCTCAGGTAAAGACTGCAGTGATACATTAACTTCTCAATTTACAACCCCACTCACATCCAGAAGCATATGCTATACTGAGGTTTGACTGGAAATGTAAGCAATGTTATCTAAAATCAGCCTAATCATCAAAATATTGTAGAGTTTTGTAAATGTTTAAAAGCATCTGCATAAATTGCATTTGCCATTTCACCACTATCCTCAATTCCCTTGGAAATCCTCTGCTCCTTCTGCAGCCCTGTAACACTTCCCTGTGCAATCCTGACAGACTTGCCATTTTTTTTTTCCTCATTCAGCCTTTAATTTAATAATTATTCCTCCTTGCAGGTGAAATGAGCAAAATGCTGATTGGACAGAAGCACGCACTCGGAGCTCTCCCAGATTCATCGCTTTGACCATCTGTGTCCTTCTCGACTCAGTGCCCACAACTCATCCGTCACCAGGAACAGCTCACGTGGTGAGCAGGATATGACGGGAAATCCTTTATCCCTCAGCAATGCCTCACAAACTTCAGGACGCTGAAGGGTAAGGCAGCAATCCTCCAGATACACAGAAATAACTCTGTGTGAATACCACCATCGTTTTGATGTGAACAAGCAAACGATATTATGTTTTGAATGACACCTTCCTTGCCCATGTCACCCCTCACCAATGTGAGCTGAAATCAAGCGTGTGAAAACTCCTATACTTCAGCAACAGCTCTAAAGAACAAACAGATGGGTCCTGGGCAGAAAAAATTTTATGTTCCCAAATAAAGCTATTAAATACTGTACACATTACCCTAGACAGTTTGGCATAATCTACTTCAGCATGCCAGTAGGCTAAATTGAAGTAACGACGATATGACTGACTGAACACAAATCTAGAAATTTGGACTCTATTCCCAGCTCAATCACTGAGAGATCTGGCCAAGTCACAGCTGCTTCTGTTGCTTTTTTCAGCTTTCAAACCTCTGTAATAATGATCTTGGGCTAATAGTACCAAGTGGCTTAAAAAAAAATTAAGCAGATTTAGAAGTTCTTTTGGTGAGACTTCACCTCAGAGTGAGCTCTTAGTTTTGGTTCATCTGAATTTGCATGTGCCCACAGTTCTGCTGCTGTTCATCTCCACTGCAGGAGAGTCTGTGTTGCTAAGCTGATTGCTGAGCAGCTTTCTCACAAATCCCGGACACAGCCACTGACCTGCTAGACCCGCTGGCAGCAGAGCAATAATTGCAAGCACCTTAAACAGTGTTAACAAAAATTAAAATCTGGCCTTACCAATCAGTGCCTGTACAACACTGTGTGCTTTGTGAAGAGTCAAAGAAGGGCCCAAGACCATTCTCAGACCACAAAGGGTAAGTGTATTGCAGAACCAGCACATCCTGTCTGCTCAAAGGAATCTTTGGGAGACACAAACCAATAGCTAACTTACCATCAATACAGTTCAAACACAGGTCAAAAAATTCTGGCCCTTTTCAGGTGGCTTTGGAAATAGTAGCTAAATACAAAATGATTCCTTTCAAGTAGCTACTAAATATTTTAACACATCTCTTGTCTGTATATTCAGCTTTTTGACCAAATGTTGAACAACTGCACAAACTCCCTTTTTTCAGCTCCACTCTATAGTGTATAAAAGCTCACTGCAATCAAAGGGAAGCACTGCAGCAAGCCCTGTGACACAGTCATTAATCCAATCATTAAGTCAGTGTAGTGAAACTATGTGCATGGTTAGCACAAAGGGGGAAAAAAAACCCAGACTGATGACTACGATTGAAAAGGTCAATATGAAATACAATACTGACAAAGGAATTAAGCACAAAGAATAAAGCACGTGCAGAACTTGTGCAGAAAACTGCATCACACAAGGAATTAATATTTACTGACACTTAAAGAGTGCTTCAGATGACACTGTCTAAGCTACTTAAATGGGTAAAAGAACACTACTTCAAAATAAACCCTTTTGTCACAGCCTTACCCTCCAACTATAAAGAAAAAGAGCATATTGCCACCAGGATAAACATGCTGAACTGAAACAGTCTAATTCCACTACTTATTTCATGTGGTCTCTTGTGTTTGAAACTGCGTCCTCCCCCACAACGTTCCTCTCCAGAGAAACACGCTATTGATTTTTTCTCTAATCCATAGTAGCTTACTCAAACAGTATCACATCCTACAGGATAGTATTTATTTTCCTCCATTCACAGTTATGCAGAAACTGGGATTTCGGGAGTGGAAAACAAATGCCCACATGTGTGGGAAGAATTTGGGAGGAAAAATTTAGACTGTACTTAAGAATAAATAAGCCTGTCTATTCTTAAAAACACCATTAACTTGAGACCTTGATACCCCATCTAATGTTCTTCTATTACCCATACAGTAAATTAATGCCTTGAAGCTCATATTAATGAAAACATTTTTCATTGAGACTGGCAACTTTCTCATCCATGCATAGCTTACTCTAAGTCTCTGAGTTCATTTAGCTTCTCCCCAGAGCTAAATTTATTAAAAGAATTGAGCACCAACCTGAGCCTCCCTCTGCCAGGTACTTGTCCTTTGCATAGATGACAGAATCCAGCATTGACTCAAAGAGAAGGAAATAACCCTGTTTATAGAAGAAGGGAAAGAATTTAGAAATCATTATACTTCCTATGCAGCCTATTTAATGACTCTACAGATAGATTTTATCAACACATTTTAAGAACTTTATATGCCCATTTGCCTCAAGAAGAGCCAGCACCTGGTGAGTTTCTCAACAGCAGCATTGTCACTTCAAACTTCAGTTACATAAAGTATCATACCTGTAGTTTGGGATTAATTAGAGATGCAGCACACACTAAATTAATAAACTATAGACAATACATATCCAATTTACAACAATATTTACCGGAGAAGAGTCCTACAACATCAAAAGAAACCAAATTCAACTCCAACCAAGTGAAAAGCTGCACGTATTGATTTTTTAGTAATAACTGGGAGGTTAAAAAAAAAAAAAAAACAAACCCTTTTAGTAACACTAAAACTTATTGTCAGACAAACACCAAATGCATCTTTGCTACTTTATATTTGCAACCTCGTGGTGCCCTCTATCACCCTGGGCAATGCTCACTAAGGCAGGTGGAAATAAATTTTTGTGTACCAAAGACATTGGTTCTCTGGGTGTTTGACATCATTTAGCAGCATCTGGACTTACAAAAATTTCCAGGATAAAAATGGTTAGAACTAGATTTGCACAGGGGTTTTTTTGTGTTGGGATTAATTTTCTGGCAGGTTAATCATACTGCTACTGGTGTTTAGAATAACTCATTGTAAGCCTGAGTGAGTAATTTTCTGAAACAGAAAAACGTTCCTTAAACATTTGAGACATTAAAAAAACCCACATGGCAGTATGAAGTAAAATTAGCATTTTATAGAAAATATCCAGTTTCTCAACTACTTTTAAATAAACTGCAGATTTATGAGATATACAGACGTTTGTTTCCCAACAGATTTACTGATTTTATACCCTTCCTGTCTTCCAAGTTTGACTATGATCCTTATTCTTAACTCAATACTGTAAACATATTTCACCTACATCCTTACAACATCAAATCAATTAAGACAAATACCAACACAGGTTTTGAATTTTCACTTAACATCCTAATTCTCATTTTGCTTAAAACACAGATTAGCCATATGGCTTGATCAGGAAAGAACAAAATGGACAATTGAAGTCCAGATTTTAGACCTGCAGTCCTACAAGCCCAGTCAGCAGTAACCTAACAAAGGAAAGCTAAGAAATTGCACCAGGGAATTTCGGATTGGATATTAGGGAAAATTTCTTCACTGAAAGGATTGTTAAGCACTGGAACAGGCTGCCAAGGGCAGTGGTGGAGTCACCATCCCTGGAGGTATTTAAAAGACGTGTAGATGTGGCACTTGGGGACATGGTTAGTGATGGGCTTGGCAGTGCCAGGTTAATGGCTGGAGACTGAATGATCTCAGAGATCCATTCCAACCTAAACAATTCTAAGATATTTTCCTTCATTTTTCCTACCTTCCCATATTTGTGTAGTCATTTTTTTGAATTTATTTTTTATTTTTGAAGTCATCATCACACACTACTGAAGACAGACAGCACTTCATGAAACTGCACTGCTAAGACCACCAAATCTACTTCAAGTTTGTGCCACCTTGGATGTTAATTTTGCCTAAGACTCTTAGAACAAAAAATGCTGCAAGTTTAGAATTGCACATAAACGTCACTACCTGCAGCCTTCAGGATCAAAAACAAAACTGGAAAACCCAGAAACTTGACATATTTGTATTCAACAAGAATATAGTGTGAAAATAATGGCCATGTCCTCTTCTCAAGCCGTTTCTTGTGGTAACAGGGCAGAGCTCCACCGGAAGCTTTTCTTCCAAATGTTCCCTGTTCTTCCACTGTACTGCCCAACTTCTGTAAGTCCTTAGAATAAGTCTCAGAACAAAGACTATTGCATTGTGAGTAAGAGGATTGTTAGTAAGCTTTGCTGAACAGCTGAAAAGGCCAGGAGCTCACCCTGCACCAGGCAGAGATTATTTGATACCTACAGCAAGCCAAAAGCACAGAATTGGAACCACAGTTTTTATAGTATTATTCTTACAGTTTTAAAAATAGAATATGTTTAGCTACGAAGAATTATTTTTAGATGCCTTCAACTGAAAATGATTTGTTTTCACCATATTTTAAGTGTAACCTCTAGGACATACATTAAGACTAGTTAACAGCAAGAGTCAGTAACAGCAAGAGTCAGTCACACTTTTATGGATCAGCTCTTCACTTCCTCCTTTCTGCCCATCACCTATGTCTGCCAACCAAGTGCAAGAAGCACAGCTGGAAGACACCCTTCCTCATGAGAAACACAGAGAAATTCTCACCATCCTTTCCCTGACCTTTCCACTGTTGGTTCTCCTCCAGCTCCCAGTTCTATCGTCCCCTGAACTCATTACAGCCTTCCTGCAAGTTACATAAACCATCAACAGTACTGAATCAAGTCATTTATTACTTATCCCAAAGCACTGTGCTCAGTGTGTTGTGCTCCTCCGTGGTGTAATCTGGAATGTAATTTCACAGGCTGTTGCCCCACCTGTAGGGGTGCTCCTGGAAAATGAATTATACCTGACATCCTTTCCCCATGATGCTGTGGGGGCACTACTGCTGCCACCCCAATAATGCTCAGGGGTTTGCTTTTTCTTAAGCATGTATTAATATTCTCAAAAATAATTACTCCAAAGAGATCTCCAGGATACAAATCTGTGAGCTGCAAATTATTAGTACGATTTTGATAGTGGCTAAACTAAGGCACATTAAAGGGGACACTTTCTCTGTTAAGACAAGCTGAATACACAGAATATCTTAAATGTTATGCTGTCATAATGTGCATCTTCTACTAAAAAGCTGGCCATTTCCTTCTCAAAGTGAACATAAAGTTCCTTATTTTTTATAATTTGCAAAGCTGAAAGGAAATGTTCTCTAGATAACAACAAACCCCCATATAAACAGATCTGGACATGAACAGAAACACACAGCACTCTGGAGTAACCCCTGCCCTACCTCATGTCTGCCCAAGACACTCATCAAAAATGCTTGAGCCCACTAGCATATCTGAATCCAGAAGAATGTATTGCTACATTTCTTTTATATATCCTTTGTATCTGTATTGTGTGTTCATAACAGAATTATAAAAGGCTCACAAAGCTTTGATGCCTTAATATCCTGCATTGTTAAATTTTTCTCTATGATTCAACTACACCACAGCATTCTTGTATTTATTTTCAATTTAATTCAAAGCTCCATAAAAATATTTTGCCAATGGATCAAAATATAAGTATGGCAAGTTTTTGTAACTTCAGTGCTTCGGTATTCATCATGATAAGCTTTGTGGAGAAAAAGAAATTAAGCTCTTTAAAAGTATCAAATAGTGCCATTACCATGTTTACAACAGCAAGAATTAGCAGAATTTTTGGTACAGCAGAACAAAACACGTAAAAATAGAATTGCAAAGAAATATTTAGCTACTTGAAATAAGGGTTGTGTTTCCCCTCTGCCTTCTATCAAAGATGCATTTATTATTTTCTGTAACATTACTGAACCTGGTCTGGTTCTCCAGATTCAGTAAGGTTTAATGCTAAATATTTAATGAGATGAAAGGTCAAAACACTGGCCCAGAGAGTGGATTTTATATTTTTTAATCCCTAGTGGTAGAAAAAAGTGCATTATTTTCTTAAGCTGAAGTTTCTAACTACAAGATTCCCACTGGCTGGCCTACAGAATAAAACACGTTACAACATGCAACACAGATTGGACAAGAAATTATGATTTCAGACAGAAAATGTAATCTGGCATTAACAGATACACAAAACTGATGTGGCCCACTCAACGATGTGAAAAATTACTTCTTACTTGACAAAATCTCCCCAAAAGCTAGGGTGCATTTAAATGACAAGCAGCAGCTACACAAACTCTTCTGCGTGCTCTGCTGCAGCACCATTTCCCACATGTTAAGTCAGCCTTCATGCTGATCTCTCATGTATGATTTAATTTAAAAAAAATCAAATTCATTACTGACAGAGCAAGCTCACAAATTTCAGAACCACAGCTTGACTTTGCCATTATGCACACCCTGTTGTGCCCTTAAACAAATAGGAGTGAGAACACCAAATGGGAAGATGTGAAGAGTAGAAAAGTGATATCCATTACTGGTGTTGGTAAAAAAAAGAAAAAAAAATCAAGCAAGGAAATTAAATTCCTTTACAAAAACATTTTGCTATAAAGAAAATAAAGCATTCAGCTACTTAGTATGCTCTTCACACCAGAGTATTAAGAACACAAAAAAAGAAAAGCTCAATTCTCACGTACAGTTATAAATTATAACTGCTACATAAATAGAGCACTTGTATTAATGCACCTCCAAATATTAAAACAATAGAAAACATTAAGATTACAGAATGACTAGTAAGTGTTAAAAAAGTGCCATCACTGTGTATCTCATAGAAATAGGGGAAAGGAGGAAGGAGAGAAAACATGGTTTCCAGCGTTTCAGACATGCTCACTTCCTAGTCCTTTTCCCTAGACCCTGATATCCTCAACCCATCATATAATTTCAAAATTATCTGAAAAAAATACAAAAAGAAAAGAAAAACAAGGAAAAAACATTAGCTATCTGACCAGAGATATGATTAAAAGACAAGAGTACTGGATTGTATCCTCAGTTTATTTTAATCTGATAGTCCATCTCTTTCTGAGTTTTTCCTTGTACAAAACTGCTGCATATTCAGTACCATAAAGCAGTGCATAAAAAAAACAATTTATGAGAACAAGCTGTACACTAACATCGTATTTGAGACAACCATCTCAGGCAATTGTCTCTCACAATAAAACCTCTTTACAAACAAGAAATGCAGATATTTTTCAGGTGAATAACTCTTGCAACCTTTAGTTCTATAGTATTAGCTAGAGAAAGGAAGGAAAAGCATACTGACAGCAAAAAAAAATCTGCACACAGATGCAGCTGTGTAGGAACATTCCAGAAAAGCATTACATACATTTTGTTTCTTTCTACATTCGTCCTTTCAATAAGCAGCCTGTGAAGTTCACAATTTCCCTACCAAAATACATGAGCAATAACACAGTCACCTTTTTTGTATCTTTATAGCAAATATTTTCCTGCCCAGGTAATTCATGTAAGTTTACAGTCTGAACAACAAGTAAGAGATTTTTTTTGTAGGTGACCTATGGTATAAGCAGACAAGCAACACAATGTTAAAGACTGGTACCTGTAGTAACTAACAATAAAATTCGTAGTTTCACAAATTAAGGCTTTTAAAGGTTTCACACTGAGCCAGGCAGGATGGTGCATCAGAAGCTTGAAGTCCTGATACAGAGTATCGAAGAATTTTGGTCAGGGAAACTTCTACAAAAACAAGACCAGCAGGGAGATCTTCCATAAAATTCACCCATTCTTACATTCAAATAACCTTTCTCTACGAGTTGAAGGCCTTTCTCCTCACAGACCCAGTTTGGTTGTGGAACATGCTGTGACTCGGCCACTCTTTCTTAAGGCAACGTGGCTTATTGGGTGAAGTGGTCCTCCAGTCCACCTGCTCTCCCCCTGTGCTCCTGGTCCACAGCACACAAGAATCCCTTGCACACTGCACCAAGGTTTTGCTGAAAACAATATACAGCTGTCTTTGGAATGGAAAAGTCTAAATGGATGATCCAGAGGTCTTTAGAAGTCCGACAGGCCCTCAATGTTCAGCAATTTGCCTTTTTGGACACCAAGAGAACAGCTCACAGCTCATCACACCTCCCACTGTGCTTTTCTGTGCTTTACACACCGGTTTTAGTTGAACACAAATCACAGAGATGTCCTGCTCATGATCTGATTTTAACATTGTCAAACACATGTACTTCAGATGTCACAAACTGCATTTAGTACATTAAAACCAGGATCACTTCTAATTTCTTTCACAGTCTTAAATAAAACCACTAAAGAGACAGTTGCTCATCACTCAGCCTCTAAACTTGGCACATGACAAAACCATATCCAGGTGAATTTAAAATGGGAAAATATTTCTTGGAAGATGGCAAGTATACATTTGAAATATAAATTTCTACATATACACACATGCACTCACACCTCCCTGTCCATTGTATAATATTTAAGATGCTTCTCTCACTTTTCCATAGTTTAAGGGAACAAATTTAAAAATAAAAGAGAAGAATAGCAAGCATTTGTGAGTCACAGGTCACTTCTGCAATTAAGAGAATAATCATCAGAAACTATTACACTGGAGATGCTCATAATGCAATGCTGCATCTTTTACAAGACACTGTTCTATGTGACATCTTTCTCAGAAAGCCTAATCTAAAAACCAACCCGGAAGAATGTAGTATTTTTCTTCTGTCGCCTCACGCTTTTTTTTTTCTGATTTCACATTTTCTGATGCTCCAGACACAGCTCTAAAAAGAGCGTACTGTTCTGCACCAAGCAAAACAAAGCTATGGCTCCACAAAAGGGTTTGATGTTTACTAATCTAAAAGCAGTTTGTTTCCTAACAGAACAGCAACTTTTCATATTTCTGTTACAAAGAAAAACAACTGTTCGCATGAGAATTTTCCTGCCAGTCCATACAGATTCTCTCTACGTAAAGAGCCAAAAACTGACATATACTGAACTCCTTTTTCCTCTCATGCTTCAACATTTTCCACATTTTCAAGCACTTATATTCACATATTAACAACAGATTTCACAAGGGGGAAGGAAATGAAAAAGCAAATTCACACAAGGAAGCCAGACAAAGAGAAATCTTCATCTGCATCTCAGCAACATAATGTTCCTTTCTGAACAGTGTTGAAACAGTGTGTACACTGTCCAGCTATCAATCTTACTTCCACAGCATTGTCCTCTTTATCTCTGTATTGCAGCAACCTATAAAAATCCTAACATTCCTAAATATTTAGAATGCCTAATTTAGTGAAATGCACATGGCTATGTAATTATGACATTAAAAGATAAATCAGCATACAAATGAAAAACACGGAACATTCAATACTTCATTCCCTACAAGAGATGGTTTTTGAAATCCTTTACTTCACCTTAGAGGCACTGATTTACAACATGACTTCAGCTCAACTGCTCCAGTTCCTTTTAAAACCAAATCTTGGGCTCTAGAATGAGAGATGTGATTTTTGGAACATTAATCTTTGTGCACACATTAGGCAACTGATCAAAGGTTTCTCTGAAAGAACTGTAATTACATTTCTAGTGAAGGCACTATACTGTCAGAAATCACCAACCATAATGTGCTATTTTTCAACCACTAGTTTAAGCCAGTGGCTTAGACCTTCCTTGAAACTAGTGACCTCAACACTAAACTAAGCTCATGTTTCAAATATACATTATAGCAGTGGAGGAAAAACTGCAGATTTCCAGCTCACTGAAATAAGAAAAAAAAGAAAAAAAAACACAGAAAAGGCAAAACAATTTATTTTTACCTTTTCCTGGAAACATACAGATAGATACATATGGATCCATAGTGAATACTTGACCTCTCCCCCAAAGGCCCTTGTATATAGTAGAATGGCCACAGTTTGTAAAAAAAACAAAAAAAAACACCCAAAGAAACAAGCAACTTTGAATGTAAGTTTTTGTTATTGATCTTAAATTTGAAAAGAACCAGAAAAGAATCTTTAAGTCCCAAAAGCTGGAACTAGCATGAAGAAAACCTGTGTTTTGAAGTGCTTTTTGAAGGTCCACAATATGAGGAGACTGAATAGCAGAAGTTCACAAAAACCCAGTTAGAAGAGATGTTTCCTACCATGTTTTTGATAGGGAACAGGCATTCAGTCACTATGAAGTTAGCCTGGCACTGGGTCTTTTAACACAGATTTCATTGTTAGGATTAATGGTAGGTAGCAAGCACAAGGTGTGTAACAACTACCAGCCAGCCCATGAAAGAAGGGGAAAAGGCCAACAGCTGAAATCCAATGGATTCCAGGAGATGGCTCATTTAGACACTGCCTTTCCTGCTGTCCACCATATTTATTTTGTACTTTTAAAATCAGTAACTTTATTGTTACACTAAAAAAAATGGCAGTGAATAGTAACACTGTTTTCAAGCTCTGCCTGTATTTGCAGATTTCCAGAGTAAGCATCTCACCTCCTTATTGCCTTTACCTCACAGTCAGGACAGTCCTCAGCTGAATTTGCAGACTAAAGGTATTTTACTCATCAGAATGATCCAGCTAGATGACTAATACAATATTTCTCCATTACTTTCACCTGAGCAGTGATTGAGGAATGGAATGCTTTAGAGATATGCAAACCAACTACATAACAGAAACTTACTGCTGCACCCAAAGCAGCTCAACTGTACTTAAGAGAACCTAGACTTTAAAGAGCTTGAACAAGAGAGATCAGGAATTGTATCCAAATACCACATAATTAGGACTGCCATCCCATCTCTCACATTGTCAAAGACTACTGGAAGCATGATAGATGTTTTGGTTAAAAAAATAACATCACTTAAAGAATAACTTTTCAAATTAAATAAAACATTTTTCTTGAAAATAACTACACCTTGAAAAGAATATTCATGCACCTTACCATCCATTCAGATATAATTACATCAACTTTTTCCAAAGGCAGATCTACTTCTTCGATTCTTCCTTTGACTAATGTAATAATACTTTCAAGTTTATTTAATCTGCAAGTCAAAACATAAACAAATTAGTTTCTATTTGATTTATGCTGTCAAGAGAGATATACTGACATCTATATTTCACATTCCCCTCTCCCACCTTGAGCTTCTTCTTTTAACTAATCTAGAAAGCAGTATAACATAATATTTCTCAGTTTTATTTCAGAGGGAATATCTCCAAGCAGCTAAAAATGGCAGCAGATTAAGTGCCAGGCAAAGATGGCAGACTGTAGATCTGTATATACCTTCAACGTGCCATGCATGCAAATGTGTAAGCTTCAGAAACCAGGAAAACAGAGAAGGGGACAATTTAAAAATTATGGTCCTCTCTATTTAAGAGCTGCTTGTTCCCCTTTCTCTTCCTTTGACCTCTACAAATTGTCATTTACAGCAATCAGAGCCTACTCACCACACCAGGATAGCAATGGAAATTAGCTTCCTCACAAAGCTGTTTTGCACGACTTGGATTTTTATTTAACCAAACCAGCGCAAAGTCACTGAGAACAAACATTCCCTCTAGATCGGTATTACACCTATTCCACAATAAAGGCATCCTCCCCACTGTGATTTTGGGCAAAAGCATCTGCAATGTTCAGTACCTGCAGGAATCAGGTGTTACCTCACATGCATGTAACGGTACGACCATCCTGCACAGGGAAGAAGGTTCCGGGATGGGACTATGGGTTTTGAGACAATAACTCACGGCACTGGAATTACTGAGTATGTAAATGCTTGAAATCTACTATTTTTCTTCTTGGCAAACCATATTACAGCCTTTCTTGCACACACCTTTATTACAAAGCTTATTTCTGCTCTTAGGACAGAAAAGTCTTCTCACCACAGAAATTTATCTCCCACCTGCAGTTCTTATCTCTGCCCCTTCCCTCCCTATCCTGATATCTTACTCTTATCTGTCCGGCTTTCAATGCAGACCAGTAATCACATTAAAAATTCAATCTCAAAGACAATGGGAGAACGATCAGAATGAAGGGAGGGAGAGGGTCAAAGGGCTACTTGAACATGTGGGCTGTTGCAAAGATCAATTAAATACTCTACACAAGACAGTCTTCTGTTAGAAGAGTAGCAGCGCATCACTAATACCATATTTAATGCCATAAACAGAAGTAAAATCAGAAGTTCAAAGTGAAAAATAAAATGTTAAAGAGCTACCACCCACAACCATAATTTAAGAAGGATAAAAAGAGATCCAAGGATAACTTCCTAAATGACCACAAACAAGGACACAATTTAAACAGAAGAGAAGAAAAAGATTAATTCATTACATACTTACTTTCAATTATAATGTTAAAAAAAACCTCAAACCAACCAATGTAGTTTACACATTGTTGGAAAAACTGCTGAGATGCTATTTAGGCAGTATACTTCAACTTTCTATTCTATCATAGCAGTGATGGATGACAAAAATCAAGTCATCCACTGCACTAGAAATTTTACAGACACTATTCATAGCAAGAAAAGGTAATCATTTAGTTAAAAGGCAGATTAAGGCTTGTCAGGCTACTTATTCCAGTTTACTTACACACATGGGTTGCACTGTTTCCAGTAATTAGCATGCTACAAATTAACCTAAGTTTTGGGAGAGACAAAAGCTCTCAAGCACACACTTGAATCACAAGTGGAAGCACACTGCAATAGTAATTTTTAAGCTACACAAAGTTGTTTAGTATTCCAATAAATATTTGTTACTCCAGTGCAAGTTTGTCAGCTTTATTCCCTTAGGAAAATCAGGTTTAACCAGACAAACATAAATTGTTTTGATGCAAACTGGAGACTTTAACGTGAACAGAACTCTTTATAGCAGAAGGTACCTATAAATGTGCAGCCTCACTGATGACTTGCTGTGTACTTCAAGTGGCAATGCATCACTCTTAAGAGTTTAAGAGTTTTGATTCATTGTTTTTCTTAAAGGTCTGCCCTTTTCCTCACCACAGGTAATACATTTTGACTGGTACTTCTATTCTCCCCCAAGTATAAACAACATTCAAAGGACTTGGAGCACCCGTTGAAAGATACGAACAATCCTAAATTTGTAATCTAGTACATTAGAAATAAAACCCTATTTCACATTTGTAACCATTTTGAAGATGTCAGGGACTCCTGGGAAAAATTCTCTTTAAGGAATTCTCTTTTCATGCTAGAAAAGCATTTTAGTCTAAGACCCACTTACATGCTTAACATGGTACTTTCCCCAAACAGATATTTAATTAACAGAATCACTTTATAGCATCCAAGTGTGCAGTGCTGCACCACCAACGTGTGAAGTGGTACCTAACAAATTCAGCCTAGACAATGTTACTTCTGTACAACTCAAGCCTGTATTAAAAAAAACCTGTCACTCCCAAATTCTTCAGCATCTACCTGGACTTTCTTTTTCACAGTTGCTCATACAAAATCAACCTAAATGAAAAAACCTACATGCCTTAGCTATCAACAGCACACATCTACACCTACATTTCTCCTACCTCATGCTAGGAAACCCTTCTTAAGTCTTCAGATGTCACTGTTTCATTTCTATATATGCTCACAATCTTCCTTAATATCCTCCACAGGTAAATTAGTGACATGTGGAGTGGATAAATGAACCACGAGATGGGTAGAAAGCTGTCTGTACTATGAAGTTCAAGAGGTGAGAGGAAGAGTACAAATCCTAACTGATAGCCAGGTACCAGAGGTGTCCCTCGGGGTTCAGTGTTCGTTCTGATACTAATTAACACTAATTAATGTAGCGACATAATGGGGCAGAATGCACTCCTACCAAGTCTGTGGATAATGCTGAATTAGGGATGAGCAGCTGATAGGGTAGGGCTCTTATTTTCTATAACGCAGACAAATTGTAGAAATTCTAGAAATTATTTAAAATTCCTATACAGAAACAGAAAATTAAACAACTATACATACACACACACTTGAATAACTTTCACTGAGTTTATCTAAATATGAACTTTCTTTAACTCCAAGTAGTGCAGCCAGGTAAAGTTTCTCACACCTTCTTGGTCTCCAGTGTTGTCTAAAAACTTACAGTTTTATCAGTAGCAACATTTAAAATGTAAGAATGGCAAATGGACAGGCAGTATTCAGTTGGAGCCTGCGCAGCCAGGCAGCACTGGCCCCATGGTACCTTTAGGAAGAAGGTCTGTTTTAATTACCCCTACCAAGGGGGCAAAGAACTTTATAAAACACCAAAATCTGTGCTATTTCTTTTGGCAAAGAAGGGCTTCAATAAAACACACACTGTGATAGGTGATCATTAACTAGCAAAAGCATTTTAATAACTTTTTACAGTAACATTTACTCTACTTTTCTTGGAACTTTTCCTACCTAATGATGTCCATGGCCTGATAGATGATTTCAGATTGGTCAACTCCAATCACTTTCTTCGCACCTGCTTTGGCAGCAAACATGGAGAGTATTCCAGTTCCACAGCCAACATCCAAAACCACCTGAAAGTCATAAAATAGAAGTAAAATCATCTTATTTTCCTTGCTATGACTTTTCCACACTTATTTCCATGTCAGTGAGAAAACATATTCCAACAGAAGGAACAAATGGTAGCATCAAGTTTTACTGTCACATGCAGAGATACTTAAGTCAAACTGCAGTTCTAAATCCACACCCTCTACCACCTTTTCCAGATTGAGAATTGAAGCAGATGAGCTGCAGATTAACAACCACAAGCAATTATTTGGGCAACTAAAATGTTACGTGAAGAGGAGAAAAAGGAATCACTAATAATTGAACTTAGCACTGGTACTAAAAAAACATATTCTAACTGTGGTTTTCATTAAGACTCTATTCAGAAGCTTTATTTAGGAATTCTCTGCCAGAAATGGCCACAGTGCCCCAAAACAGCTATGGTTCAAGATGACTAATTTCAAAATGGTCACTAGCACAGTTTTAACACCTGGAAATATTTTCTGTCTAGCACTGTTTATAATCAAAATAAGACCAAAAAAATCCAGTAAGATTTCATGAAAGAAGAGTAAACTTCATCATCACACCTGAAAAAGTACACTCAGCTCAGCAACAAGATTCATGAAAATGCCTGGGGTTTGGTATATCACATATTAGCTACTGTAGGAAGACTGAAAAGACTGAAAAAATGCAAAGCAACTAACAAAAGAGTACCAAATTTATTACTAAGTAGAGATGAGCTGCCTGCGATGTTAAACCTCATAAAGAGAGATTTTACCAAGCAGCCTTGTTCAGGCCTTGCTATCAGAATAGTGTATTTCTTCTACCTGCTGCAAACTTTTCAACACTTAAAAACTGATGAATGTGTTACAGTAGATTTTTAAGCCGAGTTTCAGGTTTGATGTTTTCACAGAATCGCTGAAGCTGAAAGGCACCTCTGGAGGTGATGAAGGTGCATTTTATTGCATTGATCAGATCATCAGAGGTCTTATTGTTAGAATTCTACTTAATATAGCTAAGCTTTACTAATGGTGTTAAAAAACTCTCAGCACTAAACCCCAAAACTTTCTGAAGTCTGAAAATCAAAACAAGTTTCCTAAACACTCGGTATAGCCATTCCTACCATGTATAGCATTTAAGCATTAACAGAACCAGAACCGTAAAGAGAGACTTCCTTTCCCATATGAGACCCTAACATGAGAGTAAGTACAACTTCCTCAACACTTCTAAGTCAACCAGAACACTGAGTTAGAATTATTAGTCATAGCAACAATTTATTAGAAAGGAAAACTTCTTTCACCATCTCTCCTCTTCAGAGCATCCAGTGCTGTGAAACTCATCTTCACAGCTTTCGTGACATTAATTTTTTTTCCAGAGAAGGCATCAATTTCCTCAAGAATCAATCCCTCCTTTGAGAATTATAACCCCATTTTACAAAATATTTCAAGGCAATAATGCATCCTACTGAAACATTTTTCAGCTCATGAGCTACTGAGCCTTCTTGCTTCAGCACAACAAAGCTTTGCATGTGCACTTTTACATTTCACCTGCAAATAGTATCCAACACTTGAATGCTCTGCACCTTAGGTCTGCCTGCCTTCTCTTGTCTACAATCCTATACATGGATACAGAACAATGATCCTGACGCCAGCATGAATAAAACCAGCTGTTTATCCATAGCAGTACAGCGTAAGTGAGCTGCTGCTGTGGTGTTCTGGGAAGCAATGACTGAAGAATTGACTGCCACCTGTCTTGGTAGAGTGACCTACTACCTGGAATCACACTAAAAAATGTTAGTGTGATGAATTTTTTACAGCCCCTTCTGTAGAGGTTGGCCAGGGAAGTTGTGGATAGAGTTATTCGTTCCACTTGCAACTCCTTGCAGCTACATTTCAAAGGAGTCAACTCTACAGCCCTCAAGTTACATATGAATATGTTATGGCTACAGAACTCCCTAGGCTGAATCTGCTGGAGACAGGAATAGAAAACAAAAATCAATATTCTTACAGCTGCTGAAACCTCACACCCCCCAACATCACCTATTTTAACACTCTACCCATGGTAGTTAACAAAATCACTGAGCCATGAAAGCTGGAAGTCACAGCCAAAATTAAACCCCTGTGAAAGAATGATCTTGATGTACAGTTGCATGAAAGAGAGCAATCACCACAAATTGGAAAAAAATCAAAACAGACACCACTTTGGACATCTGCCCTGGTCACTTAAAAAACGCAGATGGAACTCATCTAGCCTTAGGCGGGGGATGGGGGTGGAGAAAAAGGCACCAGAGAGAAAGTATACAAGCTGGAATACATCTGAGGAACAGAAAGACAAGCAGAATGATCACCAATTAGCCTAAGGACAAGGGTCTACAGCTCACATATTCTTGTGGTGATCACATATGGTCTCTCACCAAAGACCTGGAGCAGCTGGACTGGCGATTTGACTATACAATAATACACTGCAGCACCACCTCCTTCTCTGCAGTGTAATCAAAAGTGATATTCTACTTTAAATAACAGAAAAAATTACTTCTAATACAGAAAAACAGGAGGCCAGGTGATTTGGTCAATTAAATCAATTCCATCGATGAACTCTCAGTAGGAACAATGTTTTAAAAATCTCATTTTATTCCCTGAATATGGCATCGATCTTGCCTCAGACTTCTATTCTACCACAAAAACTAAGCAATGGCAACAGTGCTTTACTAAGCTATTTTTTCTACCCAAAAATACTCTCACTGTAAAATGGACCACATTTCCTTTTACTGAGTACCTTAACTACTCCTGCTAGGTAATCTAAATTGTCCTATTCTCATCTCAAATACATTTGACAGGTTGAAAATAAAGGCAGCAAGCAGGATTCATACAAGTTTTAATAATTTATTTTGAAAGCTGAGTTCTGAATAAAGTATGCCTAATAAACAAACCTAGATATTCTGTTCCAATCTGTCACCATGCAACCATACCTCTTTAGGATACAGCAGATTTGCATCAAAAGTGAGTACAACAAATTCAGCTCTTTGAACAAGCTCCTCCCAAACTACCTCACAAGTGTCCTTTTAGAAATAATAAAAAGCACCGCCCTGTATTTTGCAGGGAGAAATAAAATATGGGAGTTCTAGGAAATAGAGTACCAGAATTTTACCCACTTTAAAAAAGAAACTGTAAAGAAACTTTAAGGGAAAATAGCCTTTTTCTTTAAGTTGGAAGTTTCATTCATTAATATGGTTCTGAGAGCATTATATGATATATTAATTTAAGCAAAATATCTTCATATTTTCTTCAGCAGAAGTCTAGAACTCTGAAAAAAATCCCCTATGTTCTCCATAACTGTGTAGCATGTGAAAGCTACATCAGTGTTTGGTCAGACACAGAAGTCAAACAGGGCACTGGTCACATGGATGGGGGTTATTGGGAACTCAAAGCAGTTGAGAATCTGCCTTTCAATTCAATCTCAACACACAATGATGGGTTTGGATCCACTATGAATTTGAGGTAATCTTGATCAAAAAAATGTTGTAAAAACCATGTTCAGAAATCAGTTGTAGATGTTGTGATAACTGAGAAGGTTTTCTACAGAGAAGTTGAATGCTTTCACAGCTACAGAGTAAGCACACACATTCTCTCAGCTGTTTCTTGAGCTGTTTCTTCAGCCCCCCCTACCTTGGGGGCTGAAGCAACATTGACTCTAACAGTTAATCCATGGTTTGTTTTCAATGTTTCCAGTGTGTTCATACAGTAGAGCAGAAATACAACCAATTCAGAAAAATTACTGTTCCACGAGGACACACATTTCATGTAACTTCATATCAGTCTTGCCCTGTGAAAACCTGCAGTTATCAATTTCAGGGGCATCTGCGAAACTAAATTTCTCCCAGGAAAGTTTTCTTTCCTTTATTGATTTTTCTGCTTTGCTGTATGAGCTGCCCACCTATGCAGTCACCTGCATCATTTAAGTAGCTGGCAGTATAATTCTACAACACTTTCCCTTATTTTTTCATTGTAACTAAAGAGTTTAGAAATGTTTAACAGAACTGAGACTAAAAAAGGAAGAAAACTATTTCCTAATTTTTTCTGCTGTAGTTTCCAACTGAAAACTGAAGTAAGATACAAAAAATAGCCACTATCAACCTTGAAACACCTCCTGCCAGGGCAAACTCTCTCTCTCACCTCTCCTACAAAGAAAGGCTGAGAGAATTGGGACTGTTCAGCCTGGAAAAGAGAAGGCTTAGGGATGTCCTAATTGCAGCCTTCTAGTACCTGAAGGGAGCCTACAAGAAAGATGGAGAGAGACTAGTTACAAGAGCATGTAGCGACAGGACAAGGGGGAATAGATTTAAACAGGAAGACAGTAGGTTTAGACTAGATATCAGGAAAAAATTCCTCAATGTGAGGGTGGTGACGCCCTGGGACAGGTTTCCCAGAGAAGCTGGGAAGTGTCCGAGGCCAGGCTGGATGGAGCTCTGAGCAAGCTGGTCTAGTGAAAGGTGTCCCTGCCCATGGCAGGGAGGTTGGAACTCGACGATCTTTAAGGTCCCTTCCAACCCAAATCATTCCATGGCTCTATGAACTCAAAACACAGCAAAGTAATCAGCCAGCAGAAAGACAAGGGACAAGAAGAGTATCATAACTGTATAGGGGTCACAACCACTGTAAGGTCATATCAGTACAATCCTCCTCACTGCAAGTGAAACATCAGCTCCTCGTTCTAAGCCCTTTAATAACAACCTACTCTGGAGACACTGAACAACACTAATTCAAAAATCAGTTACACATGAATTCTTTTCCAGCTCTAATAACACAGGGCTTCCAGGACATTTTTATTGTATCAGGCATACATAGAAATTCACTTAATTCTGGTAAAGAGGCCCTCAGAGAGATTCCACCTAATACACCAGACAAGAAAGGCTCAGCTTCACCCCGCCGACATAATTAATGAGCATCCCAACGTGGCACACAGCACAGTGACAATAGCCATCACCACTGCTCTTATCAGCACTGTGCACCCTCCAGCAGCTGAATAGCTTTCCACCACCTAATAAAGCCACAGTACATTAAATCAAATCCTGTCACAGTGCCATTCTCCATTCTCAGAGCTACAAAGTAGCCAACCTGAAGGTTTTCTACCACTTGAGAAAAATTAACCACAGAAATGACTGTATTTTCTGAGCTGTTTTACCTACCTTGTCCTTGAAGATATGTGGGTTTTGATAGATGAAGTCACGATAGCTTTCTGTACGTACTTTATCCTGTTATTTAAAAGCAAAAAGTGTTCATTTTTTTCACTTAGGTACAGCATGTCATTCAAAAATACTGAAAAACTTCTTTTTAACCTGACCTAAAGATGTTTTGTGTATACTGTACTTACAAGGGCTCTGCAATCATGACACTGGCCATGTAATATTACTTCAAAATTTACAAATTACTACAAAATTTGCAAATGAAGCCAGCTGCCTCAGCTGAAAGAAAAATAAGAAATTAGCTCATGGTTTCCTGACCTGCTGCATTTCATTTTGAGTGTTTCAAAGTTCTTAATACCTCTTCATCGCTTCCCAGGAACAGCAGAGTGGCAATACTGCACCAACTTTACATAACTTCCTCTATAATTTGAAACATTCAAATCACAAGCTCATAAAACATTTTGTATCATTTTATTCTCTGACTCTCCTGTGACACAAGAGATTTCTTTAAAAAAACCCAAACGTTATGCATCAAATTAACCTGTTCTATTTCTGAACAAACTGCAAATTTGCAAACCTAGCTAGCAAATAAAGCTGTACAGCCCATTCTATCAAAGTCAATATAGTAAATATATTTGACTGTAATACAACAGGGCTGGAGAAGCTGGAATGTTTTCAAGCATAGAATGAAACATTTATAGTATCCTAGTATATCAAACGTAGCAACATGGCTCAGTTTACCAGCAAGATAATCTATTAAAACATTGATTGTCTTACCATGTATCAGCAGGTACACAAACTGACAGCCAAGTATAGGTTTTGGAATTGCTGTTGCAGTTCAAGTGTTATAGTAAAGTAGAAAAAAATTTTCAGCAATTTTTTATCTAGTGCAAATAATGCTGAAGGATAAAATCCAAGTGCTTATATTAAATCTAATATTTTTATACTATGGTAAGGTAAGAATTTTTAGAAACAGCAGAGAAACAAAAGAAATTTTCTACAGTGAGAAGGAACAAAGTCTATTTTGATAGAAAATTAAGATCAAAACCAGTGACTGAGAACAAAGGCTTTGTCAATAAAAAATTTGGAGACAGAATTATTTTGAGGCTTGAAAATTCTAAAATCCAGTTTTAAATGTAGAGGTATTATCACACACAACCCAAAGAAACAGGGTTGATTTTAGAAAATTCCACTTTAAAATTATACATAAGTAATGAATAAAAGAAACTGTGATCCTTGAAAACCATATTGGTTTACTATGATGTTATATTCAGAGCACCTATTTTTAGAGCTTCACCTCTACTGCAGCATATCACAGGATTTTGCTGAAACGACCAAAAAAGTTTAAAAATAAATAATCAAAACTGGAATGTTCAGCATCAATTGAGAAAGCAGTCAGCTGGAAATCTTTCAGCCTTACATCCTGCCCACTCACACTGCCTCAGCACTGCCCCAACTGAATCAATACAATTCGAGCTGCTGCCTCCAGTCAGTCACTTCAAGTGTCTCTGTCCATCAATCCCGCTCTCTCACTCCACATTTCCACGTGATGCTTTTTTGTTTTGTTTATAAGTAAAATGGTAAGAACATTTATTAAGATGACAGTCAAGGAATTCTTGAGCAAAACGGCAGAGCAAGGAAAACACTTGCCACTTGGCCAGTGTGAAGTAACAACATTCTTCCTCCCACCTCTGAAGTGTTCGCAGAAAAAAAAAAAACCAACCCAAACTGAAACTTCATCCTACCACTACCAGGCATAAAGAAAAAAAAAGTTTAAGACTGAACAATGTCAGAAACAGATTTACAATTCAGACAGCAAAACTCCTTTCCTAAAAATTGTCATGGACCAAGTCACTACATTTATGTAAATAAGGTAAACATGAAAAGAAAAGAAAAAATACAAGTGAATGCCTACCATATAGGAAAAATTTCAATGTACACACAATGAAAAATAACTGGTGTTGTATGCTTTGGAAACTCAAAAGTCTTCCTAAAAGCTTTCTGAGAAACGTACCCTGAAATCAATAAAATACAATTTTGTACTCATCCTATAGCCTATAACATCTCAAATGTTGGCTTTACACCACTGCAAAACCAAAAACCCATCATCTCTTTCTTTCAAGACTTCAGTTATATTTCTATAGACTATGCATTTTGGAAAACATACTTCTACTTCTGCAGCCATGTCTGTGCTTCTGTAAAATCCCCTCCCCTTAATATTAATCTCATGCTTATACTATTCTTACCATAGATTCACATACATTTCTACATTGGGCCCACTAAATGATTTAGAAAGCTGAAAACTTCCTGTGTTAGCTGCAGCGACAAAGTGATTTTGCAACTCTGTATTCTACCTTTACATTAGACAGGAATTTTATTTAATTCTGGCTTAAAATTGTAAAACTGTTTATAACTTTCATAACAATGATATCTTCTCTGAAAGGAAGCATTAAGAGATTCTCATTTACATGTCAATTAGAAGCTATTGGGCTTTGTGTTTTTTATTTTAAAGTTAAAATAGGCTTGCCTTTGAAAAGTTTTATGCATTAATTTTATCTTTATCATATAAAAGGAGCACACTTGTTTTTTCAGCTGTTCAATGTCGTTATAATACATTGAACCAAGCACAAGTACAAATTTCTGTTTACCTAGTGCAATAGGAAACCACAATATTTGAGAAATGGTCTTGCCTAACAAATTTCAATTGTTAGGAAAATTTAAAACTAAAGAAAAATATTCACTGTCTGTACTATGTTTTATCCTCTATCTTTTAAGCATGCAGGAAAAAGCTGCTTTTGGCAAGGTCAGGCTGTGTTACTGTAATATCAAGCATATTGGTACATGATTTCACGTTCCTAATGCCTCCCATAAACTGAATTTATACAAAGGAAGTAAAACTGGAAAAAAGATCTCTCAGCCCAATTCTTGGAGAAAAAACTATCCTGGATAGAAAGGGTTAAAAATGCAGCTGCTCTGCAGTATATTTATGGGCACACAGCCCACTTCCTTCTCTCTCCTCTTTAGTCCTACTAAGATGCAGGTGAGGTGATTTTCTAACCTTTAGCATCTCTTCGTGTATCCCATAATGCCCATAGGAGCTGAAGTAAACACCATCCTCATCCTCCTGAAGGTCTGCAATGGCGCTGGATGATGAGCTGCTCCTGACATCTGTGTTCATCACAAAATCCTGGGCAAATTGTCTGTAATCAATTTGAAATATACCCTTGAGACATGTTTATGGGACCATGAAAGCGAGGGGGGGAGGGTGGGGCAGAAAGGGCTTGGAAGAGGGAAGGAATCCAGGCTGCTCAGGGGTTTGCCAACAATGGGCCCAGCTTTAGGTGTGCACATCCTCCCTCTGCAGGCTCCTCCGGGCTGCTGCACCACTGCAATCCCTGCTTTCTGCTTACAGCGAGCAATTATTCACAGTGAAATCCTGAGATTTAGTTTCTATTTTTAAGGAAGGATTATCTATATTTTGCTCGCTGGCATCAAAGCCAGCACCACAGTGCTCAAGGTGTTTCAGGCTGTGCAGTGCAGATATGGACTCAACTGAAAGAGCACAAGAACTACAGCCCACACAACACTGTGTGACTGGTGGGAGGCAGAAGGAAGTATTTTAAAACTGAGCATTTGGGTGAAAACAAAACAGAGCTTAACATTCAATTCGTTACTTTAATTTCATGCTGCTTATTTTTCCTCCTCCGTGGTCTTGCATTCCTAAAACACATGAGGAAAGGCTGAAAGAACTGGGATTGTGCAGCCTGGAGAAAAGAAGGCTCCAGGGTGATCCTTCAGCACCTGAAGGGGCTACAAGAAATCTGGAGAGGGACTTTGGACAAGGACATGGAGTGACAGGACAAGGGGGAATGGCTTTAAGCTGAAAGACAGTAGACATAAATCGGATATTAGGAAGAAATTTTTGACCAAGAGGGTGGTGAGGCCCTGGCACAGGTTGCCTAGAGAAGCTATAGCACTTCCACACCCTGGAAGTCTTCAAGACCAGGCTGGATGGGGCCCTGAGCAACCATGGCAGGGGGGTTGGAAGTAGATGACCTTTAAGATCCCTTCTAACCCAAACCATTCCATGATTCTATGTTCCCTTATTCCTCAAAGCAGTTTTCATGATAAAATACACAAATCAAGAGGTTTATAATGAAAACACAATTAGAAGCGGACAAGCAAACAGCTCATACTACACCCCCAAGTAAGTGAAAAACGTCACATGCCAGACAATATTCCTCCAAGGTCTACAGCCCAACAGCAACAAAACTTACACCCTAGACCACTTCAAAGCCACCAACACTTACCTTTAACAGTGACCATACTTTCTTAAATGGGAACTTGACATATAGAAGTTGTAGGTAACACCTCATTACCAGTACCAGCTTTATAGAACATCAAAACCAAAAAAACTATTTCACCCCTGGCATATCAAATACCTCTCTACTCAACTAGTTTGGATGGGGGAGAGAATATGGCAAGGGAATTTGTACTAAAATTTTGTCAGTATCAGCAACTTCCTATACTTGTCTACACAGGTCTGGATCTTATTTTTAATATTGCTCTTTGCCATGGCAGTTTGCATTTTCCTTACTTTTAGATGAATATCTAAATGATAAAAATTTAAACTTCAAAAAAAGATTCCATGTCATACAATTAAGTATAATTAGCACTGTGTGAGATTTAAATTATTTTAAATTTAGAATTCTTTAAAATGGATTCAGCCAATAGTTCCTCAAGCAGACAAATGCAACACAAGCACCAAAGAAAGTCTAGAGACAGAGCTGCCCTCCAGTGTTTTTAATCAAGAAAAATGGTATGTAAAGACAAAAGCCATAACCTCTAAACAGGTGACAGGTTAAAAAATTCACCATATACAAGCCATGTTCTTATATCTCTAAGTTACATCTAGTGCCAGAGGAGACCTGATTTACAGAACTGTTACCATCTTTATTTTGCACAGGTTTACCTGAAATGAAACATCTGCAGATGGTCTCTTTCCATGGAGGAACCTCCAGCATAAACCAGTAGTACTATGAATTACAGCATATTAACTACTACAATGCAACTGCTTCATCTGTCCATAATTTAAAACTGAGCTGCTTCAGCAGATCTACATCTGGTTACTTTTGCTGCCAGACAAAGGAAGAGGCTGCATTGCAAAGGAAAATTAAAAGTCTCCCTCTTACAGGAGCAGATAACTTGATACACTAACCTCAAAAAAATAATAAAAATCTATAACCTTGATTGAAGTTTAGAGCTCAAAAGAAATTGCTGCTGATGACCTGAAGTGGGTTTTTTGATTTAAATGAAAACGAATGGAACAAGAGGAAGACAAGAAGACATAAAGAAAAAAAAGGCTAAGTTTTCAAAGCACAGTGCCAAATTTGTTTCATTCTTACTGTTTATGATCAATCAATGCATAATATACCCAGAGACACCAGAGAAGCACTGTGTGCTATGAAGTACAATTTGCAAAAGGCAAACCCGACTGAAGACAAACCTCCTTATTTTTGAAATAAAGAATTGTTCACAGCTGAGAAGATCTAAATACATGAATTTATTTTGGTCTACTTAGTTACTTATAACACCAAGCGTGTAATATCAAAATGTACAAGCCCTCAAATGTATTTTACAAAACAAGTCTTTTGCCGATTAACTTCCTTGCAAAAGAACATGAATTATTTTTCCAAAGTCTCCTAAATACAACTTCAGTTCTTCGGTGCCCAATCAGTGTAATCTTGAAATGACATGTCTGTACAGGAGCATCATCAATCCATATTTTGCAGACCTCAAGATTTAGAAGTCAAGTGTACAGCTACAGGGATGTCCTGATTCCTGTGATGAACTGAATATTTTCACTAACAGAACCCACATCTAAGACTGAAAAGTAGCTGAAAAAAGTTGATTTCTTAATTTCACTGAGAGTTTCTCCAAACTATAAGTGGACTCTACCACTAACAATCACTGTTTGGAGCCAACTCTGACAACGTTTGGAGTCCTATATTTAATTTGTCAGTCTCTGCTCCACTGTGTACATCCTCAGTGTTTACATTCTTATCTAAAGGACAAACAGAAAAGTGTCTCAAAAACTAAGTGGTCTGAAGCAAAATACATGTTTCTGAGCCATGTGTTTGCTTAGCTTTCCCAAGCGTACTTTGGTTTTTCAATCTGCGCAAGTTTTGTGCATTTTTTACTAACCATCTAAAAGACATTTACTGACCCTCTACAACGCACAAGTCAAACCTGCAGTCCCAACACAAGTCAAGAGGTTACACTCTACAACATGTTTGAATTTCTATTGTCTTCTCACCTAAAACACACCAAATAAGAACATCCCAAAACTTCAGTTCAAACACTTACTTCATTTTCTGAAGATCCTCCTGTGCTCTAGCCAAGGCTGCTTCTGCGGCTCTTGCTCTGTGTTCTGTGTGTTTTAACTGTTCAAGGAGCACTGTGGTATCATTTAAACCATTACAGGGCACAACGTTTGCAGGTTCACAAAGATCTTCTATATCTGATGAAAAGAAGAGGGACAAAAACCCACCTACCAGTCATGTGTTGCTTCACAGCAAATCATTAACATAAAATGCTATTTCTGTCTTTGGATGATTTGTAAAAGTGGGTTGTTTTACAAAAGACATGATTGAATTTAACAGGACTAACTGCAGAACACAATACAACTCAGAAAAAGCAAATATGCTAGAAGCATGCTCTAAGTTAATAAAGCAAATAAATCCAAAATTCAGGTTTCTTAAAATACCAGTGTTTGATTAACCATAGAAGAGACATTTGGTTTAGAGTATAATTAAGTTAATTACAGTTCTATCCTGCTTTTTTCCAATTATGTTATTCTGAGGCTGAAAGTGCTGTTAACGGTAACGGTAAAAGGTAAGAAATTATATAAATTTAAAATGTCTTAGTAATTAGAGAGTAACTCTTAATTTTCAAACCAATTCCTTGGGCTTTTATAAAGCTTACAAACACACAAAACAGAAGAGCATAAACAGAGTGAATCTAGATGAAACATTGCTTTTTCAACTACAACGCAGACTCAGCAGTAGGTCCCATTCACCTCTTGCTAAATTCAACTGATTTCAACAGGTGTCACTGGAGAAAAAAAAATGATGCTACTGTGGTTTTGGATATAGTAGGAAGTTACTGCCAGCTGACTGAGCAAAAGACTTAACTAAAAAAAACATGTATCTATTCTTTTTAATCATGGAAGACTGTTTGAGCCATGAGACTGAAAGAAAGCATTTAATATTTCAGAAGTTCAGCTCACGCCCATAACCCTTAAGCAACTGCAACTGGCACATCAAAGCACCTCAAAAGTCTATAACTCGGGCAAAGAGCACACATTAGGCAGGAGCTGATCCAGGGAAATGTGAACTCTCTGAAGCAACCAACTCATGTCCTCTAGCAGGCACTATCTCTGCTGCCATGCAACAGGGTTCACTTAGAAAGGGGCAAAACTGCATTCCGGAGTGTAGAGAGAACAAAAAAACCCACAAGCCCTAAGTACCTTATGGTTTAGCTGAAAGATGTGCGAGTATAAGAGAGTGAGAGGATCACGGGCAGCAAAAATAATTTCAAAAGTCAAACCGAATTCTCTCAAGAACATCTGACAAACTGTCATGAGAGAGAAACTAAGGCTGCTTGCTCTGATCCCCAGAACTACTAAAGAATCAGAACTTTTGTAGTATCTTATACTGGGTTGCTCCAAAATAGAACCTGTATAAAAGATGTTTTCAACAAGGCAAATTACTTGTAGCACACATTTTTGAATGAATGCATCAAATTTTAAATATCATCTATTTAAATATCTAAATATTGTGAAGCTTTAAAAGCTTCACAAATCTCCCAATGAATGTCAGGTGGAGTGTCTCTTTGACCAGCATAAATACTATACAGAGCATCTCTGCTATGAGAATTTGCTACAGTACGCAAATGCAGGTAATAAAAAAGGGCTATGGAAATCTCAGTCACTAAAAATAAATGCACAACATGCAGTAAAAATATCAGAGTGTAACTTACTGTCATGACTTTGGCTACTATGTGGACTTTCTCATGTATGTAAATCAACCGAATAACAGTGGCATGAACTCTGACAATACCACATTGACCCTACAATGCAGTGCAGTCATATTGAAACAGTATTTACCAAACTGAAGGAGGAGATCATCTTCTAGTTCTGGTTTCAGATATTCCTCTCCTTTCCAAGGCAGTGGGCTGCTGAGAGAACTCAAATATGCTCCTGTTGGTTTCTAGACAGGGGAAGAGCATGTAAGCTAAGTTTCTTTGAAAACACCAGCCCTTCAGTCTGATTCAAGAAAAAAAGGCAAAGACCTGTTCTTTCACACATTCAAATATACAGGGTATTATTGAAGGAACTTTGTAGCAAAGGCTGAGAAAGCCCAGGCAGCTACAGCATCAAGGAATTCAAGTAAAGCACTAATTGAAGGATACTTGCACGATTACACTGCCATCGGGAACCAAGTTTACTCAGGTGTTTGGCTGTGTCAGCCTCTTAGCTTCCAAGAGGGCTAATCAATAAATCCCAGATGCTAATCCTGTCAGGTGTTTTTACATGAACACTGCTGCAGGGACTAATGTCAGAAACGCTGCATTCTCTCCTGTTTGCATCCAGCCAGTTAATATTTTGTCAGGAAAGGAAAGGTCAGATTCTGGACTCCAATTTCTGCCTTTCTGTGTTTACTCTGCATAGACAGTTATGCATTAAGTAACTACTTGAGGATTTAAGATTTGAGGATTTAAGTTAAAAAGTGCTTAATGAGGTAAGATGGTATTAAGTTTAAACCTAAACTTCTAGGGAACAACCAAGGAACATGCTTCAAAGTCACAGAACACACAAAATACTCCCAGGCCTATCTTAAAATTGTAGGCTCCCATTAGCTTTCCTGATTCTGGCATCATTTAGCAGAGATTAAAGCTCTGTAGCCTGAGGGATCAGGCGTTGTCCTTTCTAAGTAGGGGTCTGGCCAGCTCACACCCTCAGGAAACACTCTTTTACACCTACACACAGGCAAGGACTGAGAAACTTCAATTATTGACAAGTAAAGCCATTTCTGAAGCAAGACAGCAAAGGCCAAGACAAATTAACAAAACAAAATGATACTACATAGCATGGAGGCTTTTTGCAAGTCTAACACCCTCTTCTGAAACCAATAAAAATCACATAAGTTAAATACAATTTAAATTAAAACAACTTCATATCTAAATAAACCAATCAACAGCTATTTTAATTCCTGTGATTTCTTATTTCTAGAATTACAATACAAAATCTCATGCAGTTATTAAAAAAGGGCAAACTGAAAGCACAGCACCTTGATTCCGTATTCTCCAGACACAGATTACAGAAGTAGTATGTGGCACACCTACCTTTAATCTGATGAAGTTTATTAGTTTAATGTATCCATAAAAATTGAGTCCTGAGAGGGGAAAAAAAAAAAAAAAGGGAGAGAGTTTGCATTACAGAAAAGCACACATACTTTACAATTAAATGAATACTAATTGCTTGTTCAAGTGGCCAGTTTCCCCTTGGGGTGTACATCACTATCTAGTGCAGTCTTCCTATCTTAAGCCTGCCATCTATGTTTTTCTTCTCCTTAGGATTAAACCAGGAAATTCTCACCCTCAGGACAAATACATTTGCCACAAATTAAGAATGGAACACATCCAATTGGGGATTATGAACAGGGATTTCATTCATCTGGCAAGCAAGCACTTCAGGACAGCCACTAGCTACCCTGCTGATATTTTAGGCTGCTGTTCATTTTTAGCTTTCTGCTTAACAGAAATCACATTGATTATACTCATCAAGAATACTTACCAACATTGATTTAAAATTGCCACCTAGGCAGAAACAACAGTGGCTTAAGTATAAATATGTACTCTCACCAACAAGACCAAAGACAGAATACTATACCTTGGATTTTAGACAGAAAACAGACCAGATCTTACAACTTCACAGGCAGATTTACAAATGCTTCATGTAGTTCCCATCCTCTTATCTCACACACTCCTTTTCAGTGAACACTCTTAAAACAGCATTTCTCCAACAGTTTCCCTTCTCCTGCTTTCCACTCTTCCTCTATATGCACTAAAATACATATTTTAGGCTCAGTAGCTCAGCACTTACCTCTTTCAAAGCCCTCCCTACTTCACATACATCCTCCTACACGTACTTTCCTTCAGTCACCACCTTGGCCTAAACACAGCTTCAAGTGAAAGTCAAACTTCTCCTAGAAAGAGTTAAACAGACATTGGAGGGTTTGCCCTCCTGTGATCCTTTGAGGGAACATAAGCCACGACTGCAAACAGCTGCTCAAAAGACACAAGCAGCACAATCCAGCACCTGCCCTACGGGTGGGTACATCCTTGGTGTCTGCTTAGCTACTGAGCCCAACAACAGCATCACTAGACAGGCAGGAGTTCCCAAGATCAGGTAAACCACATAGTGCGCTGGCTCAAGTAGGCAGGGAGGATTCAGCACACCAGCACAAGCCAGCAGATATCAATCTTACTTTTGTCACTAGTCAGGAGCTTTATGAGTAGATTATGCTGGCTGCTTCCTGTGTGCTTTAAGTATAAGCATTTTTCCACATAGCTTATCTTGTTCAATCTTGGAAGTTTCAGCTGCAACCATGAAATCCATTAGAAATAAACCAATGCTTGCAATTTATTTTAAATGAGACACTCATACACAAAAGGAAATGACAAGTCATAAAAAAAACTTACCATGTTTCTGGATCACATCACTAACATTAAACTCATGCTCTGTTTTGCAGTGAGAGAACACACCTTCAGCAGAACTGAACCACCTGTAAATAACGAATTATTAAGTATGTAATAACAACACATTTAGAAGTTCTGAGTTCTATATGCTCTGTTCTGACCTACTAGGCAATACATTCAGAACACATTATCTGCCTTTGAGAAGGGATGCACAGGCAACTCCTTATTCATATGCCTCACAAAGAAACTTTTACCTTGTTTGCCAAACATTTTGAAACAAAAGACAACAAACATAAAAATTTTGTTTGACAAAGCCACAAACCCTGTGAACTTTCAAAAATTCCTGGAAAGCAGACTCTGTTAAAGCTGAAATCTAAGAACCACATACAGGAGGTGGGTGGGCCGGCTGGATCTGCTGCATCCAAATAAAAACCCTTATCTATTTACTGGCAATGGGAAAAGATGACAGGGAGAAAAAATAAGAAAAAAGGAAAGAGAAAAGCCTCCACACTGCTCCAGGATGAGGGGAGGGGATTACCTTCTTTCCACGTTATCCTCTCCTTCACTCTGGATCTAACGCACCTTCAGCTCGATCAACAAGTTTTAGCTTGAGAGAGAAAGTAAGTCTGGGATCTGGAACTGAAGTGGGGCTGGAAAGGGCTGCCAAAGGAAAGTAAGGGCTGCAAAACAGAACTTTTTCATCTGGTGAGGGGCAAGTTTTGGTTTGTTGGGATTTTTTGGGGGGGAGGACGGGGCATTATTTGGTTGGGGGATTTGTGGACTTTTGTTTGTTTGTTTTAACGAAAACTTAGCCTGGAATTAGCTTTAGGGCTATATTATGAAGTATGGGACTCAGTATTTTACACATACACATTTATATTTATACCTCTATAGAAGTGCCTCCATAAAATGCACACCGTGGAGCAGCTTGAGGAACGCGGAACAACTGCAGATGCTACAGAGCTCGGCTAAAACTAGGAATGAATTACCTCGCTGGCGTGGCTGCCTCCCGCGGGCCAAGCCTGGGCGTACGCAGCTCATCCCAGCTCTGCCCTGCCCAGCCCAGCTAAGTCCAGCCGAGCCCAGATGAACTAAGCTCAGCCGAGCCGAACCCAGCCGAACCCAGCCCAGCCGAGCCGAACCGAGCACAGCCGAATCCAGCCCAGTCGAGCCGAACCCAACCCGGCCGAGCCCAGCTCTGCCCACTCCAGCCCAGCCCAGCCCGCTCGTCACGGGTCCCCTGGCCCAGGCGGGCGCAGCGAGAGCGCGCCGCGGTTCCCCCCCCCCGCGCCGGCCCCTTACCTATCGCAGAAGAGGCAGCGTGTCCTCTGGCCCACGGCAGCGCCTTCCTCCTCCTCCTCTTCCTCCTCTTCCCAGGGCTCCTCGCCGTCGGAGAGCGCGGGCATCTCCTCATCCCGCCCCGTCTCCGTGTCCATGTCCCTCCGCCGCCCCCACGTGCGGCGCTTCCGCCCGCTGCCGACGGGGCGGGCCGGGCCGCGCTGGTGGCTCGCGCGCCCCCTGGCGAGGCCCTCCGGCCATGGCGGGCGGGGCGGGCGCTGAGGGGGGGGCCGGGCCCGGCCGAGGGGTCCTGTGATACCTTTTGACGCAGTGTTGACAAAACACAAAGACTAAAGAGCACAAATGAAGATCATAGAATCAGCCAGGTTGGAAAGGACCTCCGAGATCAAGTCCAACCTTTGATCCAACACCGCCGTGGTTCCCAGACCATGGCACTAAGTGCTACATCCAGTCTCATCTTAAAAACCTCCAAGGACGGAGAATCCACCCCTTCCCTGGGCAGCCCATTCCAATGCCTGATTACCCTCTCTGTAAAGAATTTCTTCCTAATATCTAACCTGAACCTCCCCTGGCACAGCTTAAGACCTTGACCTCTTGTCTCACTGATCGCTGCCTGGGAGAAGAGACCAACCCCCACCTGGCTCCCCCCTCCTGTCAGGGAGTTGTAGAGAGTGAGGAGCTCTCCCCTGAGCCTCCTCTTCTCCAGGCTGAACAACCCCAGCTCCCTCAGCCTCTCCTCATAGGACTTGTGTTCCATACCCTTCACCACCCTTGTTGTTCTTCTCTGGACCTGCTCCAGCACTACAAAGTTTGCTATTAAAGTTCAGAAATCTACACTGCTGAACTCTGTGACATGAAGGTAGTATAGCAAGGAGTTTTTGTAGCTAATTTTGCTATTTCAATTGTTAGACTTTTTATGAGTCTACTACAGACTCCAGCCCCAAACCCACATCTTTACAAAAATGACAATGAGTATTTCGCTAACCATGGACAAACACATGTTGTCAGTTGTCCATCAAGCCCTCATCAAGTCAAGCTGTAAGCTTTAAGAATTCAATGTATTTAGTATGCAGGGCTCATATTAATTTATCATAGACAAAAAAAAATACTTAATGAATAAAGTTTTCATGAGTGGACCAAAAAAAAGCCTTTTTTTTTTTTTGCTTTCTTTTCAGAATAATGATGAAGTACTTATCTTCTTTTTCTGCTGGTTTAAATTGTCTGTGATGACACTAATAAAAAGGTTCAAGGTAAAAAATAATCCAAAGATGATAAAGATGACAAAGTAAAGATACGTGTACAGATTGTTTTCATACTTAGGCTAATCCAAAACCTGCAAAAAAAGGCATAGAAACTAAACCTTAGTTTAACAGTGAACACAAAATATATGCTGGATAAAATTTAGGGCTTTATCACTCTGATCTTTGCTTCTTACAGTCAAGTTCTGATATATCCATTTCACTGACTTTCAATCTATTAAGTTACGTTCTTGAAAAAGAACTTTGCTATCAAACTTGATATTTCATTTTGAAAAATGTAACTGGCCTGTATGAATGTAGAATAAATACTGAAGACAGCAAGTTGTGGTAGTTGTGGTATTCCACAAATCAAGTACATCAACTATCAAAACTTTTTACTATATATGCATTTCAGCAAACAAGGAAATTAATGTTCATTGGCTACAATTTACCTAGTTCTCTTATTAATTGATATTCTATCTTCTTTCTATTAGTTAATGACTCTCTCGTTTCTCGTGCCAATTAGTCTGCATGCTCAGTCTTTCTCTTTTGGGTCGGTGGTCATGATCTCCCCCTTCCAGAAGTACCTTTTACCCAGTCGGAGCTGATTTCAGCACAGTTGCTGGGATGGTTTTATTAGTTTCTTCCTTATCTTGGGGGTTCTGCTAGATTTCCCTGTGGCCTGTAAATTCTGCATTCTTTGTGTCCACTGTCACTGGTACATCCTTCTTCCCAAGCCTTGTTAGCCTCCCCTTAGGTCATTGAAACATGTCAAACCCTAAACCTTAACAAGGCAACAATTACAAGTAATTTGTTTTTCTGACACCTGGACATCACTTAGAGCTCGTTAGCTGTTCTCCGTTTCACCAATTATGTCCCCCTTCTTGTTGATTAGATTTGAAAGTATACAAAGATCCAACATTAAAGAACATCCTTTCTTAAGAAAATTTTATATATTACACATTTTGCAACAAGACCATGATACTAAGTGCCACAAACAGTCTTTCCTTAAACACCTCCAGGGACAGTGACCCCACCATCTCCCTGGACAGCTCATTCCAATGTTTAATAATCCATTCTGTGAAAAAATTCTTCCTACTGTCTTCTATAGTTGAGGCGTCATTCAAATGAAGACGCGAGAAAGTAGTTTTAAAAATTATATAGAAAAAACAAAGCTTGAGGGTCATCACTTGAAGAAGACATTTCAGTTGGGTTACTGAAGTTCCTTAATTTTCTCTCTATTTTGTGCCTAACAGAAACACGCATCTCTTCAGAATCAAATGGTGCTGGTTCTCATGGTGCTTCTATGCAGGATGGGATGGAGGAAAAGTCAAAGCTGGAATTTTTCCAATTTGTACCATTTGTATCATCCAAGTGTCTAAGTTCACATCTGTGCTACTACAAATATTTCCAAAAGTAATGAAATTAGTATTTCACCTTGAGCATCACTATCTTATATAATGGCAAGAGCAGAGGTACTCTGGGCATCCTGCTAGAACTGGTCTGATTCAGATGGGTAAACACTGTATTTGCGCAGTGTTTATTCCCTAATATGACATAAGAAATCTCCCACATCTTACCACCGCTGTTAGTCAACAGCACCTCATTAGGCATTGCACATGGATTTATACATTTGCCTTGGTTTAGGAATCGTACTCCCCCTGCAGAGAGCCCAACTTGAAGAGATGAGAAATCACCAACTGTATGAAGTTTAACAGTGGCCGCATTCTGCACCTGGGACGGGGCAACCCTGGTTGTGTGTAAGGACTGGGAACAAGAGGCTGGAGAGCAGCAGTAAAAAGGGACCTGCGGGTGCTGGTTGATGGCAAGTTGAATCTGAGTCAGCAGTGCCCTGGCAGCCAGGAGGGACAACCCTGTCCTGGGGGGCATCAGGCAAAATGTCGCCAGCAGGAGAGGGAGGGAATTGTCCTGCTCTGCTCTGCACTGGGGCGGCCTCACCTTGGATATTGTGGCAGTTCTGGGCACCACAATATTAAAAAGACATTTATCTATCAGAGAGCATCCAGGGGAAGGCCACAAGGATGGTGAAGGGCCTTGAGGGAAAGCTGTATGAGGAGCAGCTGAGAGCACTTGGTTTGTTCAGCCTGGAGGAGACTGAGGGGAGACCTCATAGTAGTCTACAGCTTCCTCATGAGGAGACAGGACTCAAGGAAACAGCATGAAGCTCAGTCACAGGAGGCTTAGGTTAGATATCAAGAAAAGGTTCTTCACCGAGAGGGTGGTTGAGCACTGGAACAGGCTCCCCAGGGAGGTACAGGGAGGTAGTCACAGCACCAAACCTGTCTGAGTTCAAGCAGCTTTTGGACAACACTCTCAGGCACATGGTGGGATTCTTGGCTGTCCTGCACAGGGCCAGGAGTTGGACTTGATGATCCTGATGGGTCCCTTCCAGCATATCCTATGATTCTATGACTCTATGATATTTATTTTACAAAGGCTGAATCTGTAACAGTGCTCGATATGTAGCACTCAAGTGGAGGTACCAAGTGTTTGTTAGTATATTATAATTGCTGTTTGACAGAATGATCATCAGCATTATTATAATCTTTGCAGCTTTTGATCATTTCTAGAGGGGTGGAGCCAAGGGTCAGATTGTAGTCTCATTTTTACAGTGCAGATTCAGTGGTGTTTGTTGAATATAAAAACAAAGAGATTTGAATTGATCTGTAACAAAAAAGAAAAGAGGGGTATGTAGAATTCAAGAAGGAAACCTGAAAGTCTGAATTTCCTTGGCTGGATTATAATCTCTGATCTTTCATCTGTACTTGTATATCAATCCCATGTAGCATAATTTTCCCTTTTACCCTCCTGGCTCTCAAAGCTAACAAAGAAGGCTTTTAAGCGGTAATTGAACAGATTAGGCTTGCTTAGTAATAGGCAAATCCAGAGGGACATGAAAAACCTAAATATGGAAACTAGTTTTAGATAAGACCAGAATTCCAGTTTGAAAAAGGATCTAAGATCTACTAAGTCAGACTTCTTCACAAATTCTGTGCTATGCCTTGTTTTTAAATTCTATATCCATTCAGAATTACTTCTACAGGTGTGACAAGACATCACCAATTCTGCAAACACTCTTTAGTCGTGTAAACTAAGTGCTTCTCGTGGATTTTTTTCATTACATAGTGAGTACTAGTTATCGAATTAGTCAGTGCAAAATTCTGGCAAAGTGCTGCATACCCTTAGCTCAGAGAAGAAGTCTAGTCAAGTCAGATGCTTATGCTGCCAAAGTAGGATCTGATCCCATAAGAGAAACAGAAGTGACACAGAATGATAAAACACACTTCTCCTCTACCCTTGCTTAAGCAGCCAAGAGTAGAAATAGATTTAACAGCCGCTGCTCTGTCAGTAGTGCCCAGGCTGATAGCAGCAAAGGCAGAAACAGCAGCTTCTTTGTGTTTTACTGAAATTCTCCTCGTCCCCCTCCCTCCACCCCCGAAGGGGCACAGGGTCACTGATTGCATAGTCTTTGCTCCATTGCACACTCTCAGCTATTGTTCAGTCTGCTCAGAGAGCAACAGACTGAATGTGCGGCACAGCTTTGTAACCGAGCCTTCTTTTTTATTATTGTGTGAATTAAGGATTCTCAATAAATGTAAAGCACCTGTTCATTTGGGTTGGTGTAGATGACACGTTGGGGGAAGGCTGTATGAAATCCTTCAGCAGAAGTGTATGACTTACACTGGGTACCTCTTGAAATATGATCATCTTTGTTACAATCTCCTAATCCTTGTAAAGGGATTTGCATGGTACAGAAGATTTACAATGTAATGGATTACTATTTCATAATCAGGGCCAAGGGGAAGAAACTTCAAATACTCACAATTTTTTTTACTGCATTTCAAACTTTTTTCCGTTCTGGAAACACAACACTGGGGAGATTGTTAGACACATATTTTGTGTCTGCACACAAAATATGGTATCAACGTATCACTTGTGGGCTTTGTCTCATCTAGATTTCCAAGCATGTGTAATTTTATTCTCTACCTTCGTCACTTCTTTTTGTGGCCACAGTGCTTGTCATTATCCAAAAGCAAAGAAAGTTTGTTAATAGAAACTGTGTAGGAAATGAACAAAATATTTTTTAACAAACTGTTATTAAATGGGTATGACTTTACCCTGTGTAAAATATATTAGAAAAAAAGAGAGAGCAAATGTTCAAAAAATAATATTAAAAAACCAAATCACTTCTTATTTGTGTGGTCAGAGTTATATTTTTTTTTCAATTTTAACCACTCAATGTTGCCAAAAGAAAACTGCACAGAACCATGAAACTCAAAACTAAAGACAATTTTTCAAAAGTATTTTCTATCTGCAAAGTCCAAACTGTCTGAAATTTTACACTACATTCCTTGGATATTAAAGTCAGCCTGCTACGTGTAGGTACCAAGAATGACACTCCCAAAAGCATAGCGTGTGAGCACAAATACCCTCATGCTCAGTCCTCCCTGCCCAGTTTGTTGCATTTTGTGTTTATTTACTGATGCAAACTCCTTGTAGCCAGTGGTCTAAAAGCAGATAGTAGCTTTTTCATTTAGCCTTTAACATGTGTAACAGTGAACAGGTTCTTCCCAACATCCCACAGCAATGAAAAGCACAGCTCCAACAGCCTTAGGTGCAACAGAAAGAGGTACAGAAACCTCACATTTTGCAGAAGGGCATCACTGCAAGTAAAACCTTCATTAATGCCCATGAACTCTTTATGCCTTTATTGCCCTCGCAGCTAAAGGGTGAATTTAGACTCTGTTAAAACCATAAAAGCTTGGAAAGATTTAAATTAAACATAAATCAGAAAAATTGAGTGCCAGTTTGTATACAGAGGGAATAAGCTGTAGTCAAAAAGAATTTTTTATTCCTATCATCAGGAAAAGCTAGTAGTATTGAAAGCAGAATTGCTAATCAGAATTTGTATGCTCAGTCAGTTTAAAAGTTTCACAAAATGATGGCCATATTGCTCTCAGTATAGTTCTGAACTAAGATAACTGACAGATATTTTTCATCTGGAGAAAGCCTAGCAGACCCTATGTAGGGCTCGCCCTGAAAGCAGGGTTAGGTTTAAGCTTGAGAGAGAAACTAAGTCTGGGATCTGGAGCTGAAGTGGGGCTGGAAAGGGCTGCTGAAGGAAAGTGGGGGCTGCAAAACAGAACTTTTTCATCTGGGCAGGGGTAGGTTTTGGTTTGTTGAGATTTTTTTTGGGGGGGGGGGAGTTGGTTATTTGGTTGGGTAGTTTGGGGGGTTGTTTGTTTATTTCTTTGTTTTTCTGTTTTACAAAAACTTAGCCTGGAACTAAAGTTATGGCTATGTTACAAGGACTCAGTATGTTTTTATGTATTTATACCTCTAGAGAAGTGCATCCATAAAAAGTGCATTGTGGAGCAACTTGAGGAACAGGGGACAGTTTCAGACTAAGATCACTCCAAATAGATAGTATTTAAAAAAATAATCAAAAATAATCAAATACTTAGAAGCTTAGAAAACCACTGATCTTCAGAGTTACTTTCACTGTTGATGTCCAAAGGGTAAATGCAGATAAAAGAACCCATAAGCATCTCAAGGATAAACCAGTGCTACAGAGAAAGCAGCTATAAGTAATTCAATATTTTCTGTCTCATAATACCTGTGTTTCTCTGGGGAAAACGTTTTCTACGGGGGAAAAAAATACCTGGACTTAAAGTATTGTAAAGAAAAACTACAAAAGAAATCTTATGTCCATTTGAAGTACAATGAAGTATTTACCTTAGGCCACACCTTTACTATGAAAATATATAATCTCCATTCACAGTAAGAAAACAAGTGAGGACAGGTAGGGGTTCTCATCAGCTAACAGGTTGAACTAGTGGAACTATGAGGGCTGTGCATTAAAAACAACCCCCCAAAGGCAACTATTTGGCACTTGGGGGTTTTTTACACTATCTACAAGATACTTAATGTCACAAGAGTGGATGTTAGGCATTTAGCAAACTCTGAAAGTAAATACTTAGATGAGTTACCTGGAAATCAAAACCCTCCTCGTGAGGGATGAGCATGTGCAAGGTTAAGTCCATCAGAACCAGCTCTGGATTGTGCTCCTGAGCAGTGACTAACCAAAGACAATGGAAACTTGAAGTGTCCTAGAAAAAAAAAGAAGGATCAGATTATTTGAGCTCAAAATGTAGAAATCATAAATGAAAGGAGCAGTGGTAGGTGTGTGCATCACTATTTAAGGAATCTGGTGCTTAGTGCCCAGGTTTCCAAGGGCTTGATAAGAGCAGAACTGAAATGCAAGCAGAGGAAGAGTGTGAAATGTTGCAGATTACAGGAGAATAGGGACCAATGGAAGCCAGTCATACTTCTCATGTCTATTATGTGTGCTGTGAAAATGATTTACCTTAGATTTACCTTACTAGATCACAGCCCAGCCCAGTATCTCCATTTTGAGAGATGTTACAAAAATACAAGTATTTCTTTATTCAGCTTCACTTTCCCTAAGTTGTTATTGCCTCAGCAGAATGAGGAACAATATTGATGATCATGGGCAGCAAAAAACAAGTTAGAAGTCAGAGAAAGAGACAATCAGAAAGTAGAATCAGACATGGGACTACATCCATTTATGCTGCTTTTCTTGCAAATTTATTTTGGCTTTTCCAACAAAGACGGAAGGAAATATTCATCACGTTGCATTTGTCAAAAAATAAATTTTGTAGTTACCTGGGATGAATTCAGTTCATTGCTTTCAGCAGAGGATACACTATTTTGCTTTTATTTCTATATCTAGAAAACCAGAGAGACTTATACAATGATTCTGACAGCACACAGATTTGTAATATTTCAGGAGCTCAAGATCTTGAAGATTCATTGCAACAGTTCAGTGAAATCTTTGTAGAGGAACTTTAAATACAGGATTTTTTCATGTTATTAGTATTGAAAGGACAGTTACTATCTCTTGCTGTATACTTATAGAGAAAACTTCACAGGAGAAGATACATGGCAGCTTGGGAAAATGATTTTCCTGAGACAATCAGGATACCTCAAAGTCTTTACTCCCAGGGGTGTAAAGAATGCAGGAAGGAGGAAAAAGAATTACTTACCCTGCACAAAAAATGTAAATAAACAATAGCAAAATGTAAATGTACAATCAAGGCATTTTTAGAGCAGGTAAACTAAAATATTATGAATCAAACAAGAAATCATTATACAGCATTAGGCTAGTGTTTCCATTTCTGCACCAGCTTGTTACAGGCTGTCTCAGTGCAGCTTTTTTGTTGACAGATTTTTACCTCATTTTCAGTTCATTTCACTGAAAAAAAACCCTAACGTAAAAATGGAAATATCCTTCAGTAAAACTGCAAATTCTCCTGATAAATATTAATTCCCCCTTCTTTAAAAGGTGCTTGTTTGAGGTATTATGAGTAGTAGCTATGTGTGTTAAATCTCCCATTCTTTGTACCAGCTTCTTTAAAAAAAAATAAATCAGCCAATGAAAAGTGCCTAGACTGACGCTGTCTCCCTCGGTTAATCCAAGGCCAGGAGAGGGATAATTTGATTAAACTGAGACCCTAATTTATTTAGCTTTAGTTCTGGATCAACCTCTTCTTAATAGAGTGCTGTCGTCTCCAATTGTTTGATGAAAATTAAAGTGACATAAATACCATGGGACTTTTTCAATCTGATTAGTCAGCTAACTTGCATCAATACTACCCCAGCCATCAGGCGCTGGCGTCCTTCCTTTCACCAGCCTTACTAACAACTGACAAGTTCTCCTTGAAGCCCGGGCACCCACGCTGCCACTCAGACCCCCACACTTAACCCATCATTCCTCCTCAATGGCTCTTGTTTGACAAGGTGCCCACACCTTTTTCCATTGCTGTTCATCAGACAAAGCTAAATATTGTTTTATTAGCAATCAATAGCCTGTTAATCCCAAACGATTTCACAAATCCACTGAGCTCTCAAGCTGATTAAAAACGTTTGGGGTTTTTTTTGGGGGGGTTTTTTTGGTTTTTTTTGTTTTGTTTTGTTTTTGTTTTTTTGGTTTTGTTTTTTTTTTTTAAAGCTGCTAAATTTCAGATGGATTTTCACCTCTCCTCCCAGCCCTCACACTCTGATATGGGACATTGTAGCTGGTAAGCAAAGCCACAAAAGCAAAAAGAGCTCTGTTGTCTTTAATGTTGCCTTTAAGTGGACGTATGCCAATGTCAAAGTTTCACAGTTTAAATATGAGCAAACCTATGCCACCAAACTCTCAGCACATTTAGTAGCTCCTCCACTTTCAATCCATCAGTTTGCAACTTAAGAATACAAGAGCTTCTGAGCCTTCTCCTTTCTTTTTACAGCAATATGGTAAATTCTTGCTTAGTCTGTGGGCAGGGAGACCAAGAAGTGAGAGAGAGAAGTAAGCTTCTTTGATTTACCATACATAAACAGCTAACAAAGCTGGCTGGTGCACTATTGAACCATCTACCATTCATGTCCAAGTCACAGACACAGGCTTGGTGGACTGTGATGATACCTATGTTTGCATGTTGGATCATGGGTAGATCTTCTGAGAGGCACAAGGGGAACAGCGTTACAAACACACTTCCTCTTGGATCTACCCATCCTTGCTCACACCCACTGTCTGCCTGTCTTGCCTTGGAGACACTGATTAGGAGAGCTGGTGATATAATTAATGATAGTTTATTAATGTGATGCAGCATAAATCAAGGTCAAGGCAGACAGGCAGTGTGGACAGGCACGCACTGAGCCTCTGAAGCACCCAGGAGCACAATGCTGACTCTCAAGACTTGTTGAGCTGGCTTTGCAAGTCTATGTTTTATTCTTACCCATAATTAATTGTTGCTGTAGGTCTGCTCCCTCTGCAACAACAGGGAAAGAAGGGTTGTGGGCAAGCTGATGCCTCAGCAATGTTGCAAATACCCTGCCTGAAACAAATCTTGAAATGGATGGTCTTGACTCTTCAGTCAACTTAACTCTAGGACAAGTTCTTGTTGACATTGAAGGACTTAACTAAAAGCAAAAGCAGCCTAACACACATTTTATGCTTTTTGTGCTGGGTTTTAACATACCCAGACTGTGTTTTAAGTAGAAAGGGAAAAGTTATTTCAGCTGATACAGTCCTCTGGGAAGTCTGTTGAAACAAAATGTATATTTCCTAAAGCATCAGCCTTGAGAACAGAGTACGAGTTCTGAAACAGACTGCAGATGTAAAGTCTAAAAGGCAACATTTCAAATCAGTAACTTGCAAAAGTCGACATAATTATTGTGAAAATAGCTGCTTGTTAAATAACTACTGTTAAAATAGCTCCAGATTTGGCTATTCAGTGTCTGTTTCAAATGAGTCTTCCATATAAGCTCGGGTGTTTTGTAAGCTCTTCTGAAACTCTTCTTTCAATAATTTTTTCTGTTAGGATAAATATCTATCCTATCAAAAATATTCATCAAAACACTAGAACATAATGGCAAAAAAACCACTATCTACTCATAATTTTTAAAAAAATTGATATTTTAAATTGCAGACACATTAAATGGAACATGCAAGTTTCTGCCAAGGCAAATAAAGCAGCAACTGTTTGTTACTCTCCCTTTGGCTACTGTGCATGACCCCACTGCATTTGCCAGTGGCTAAAAAGGGTCTCAAAGAATGTTTTTCAGTTTTGTATTTTATGAAGTTATAAATAAAAGTTAACAAAAAAAAGTACTAAAATTAATACTCATCCAAGTAAGTACTTACTGTAGTTTAAAATTCCTCTTTAAATCCTCTATTTCTAAGGTGAAGGATGGTAACTTTAGAAAATTACTGTTGATTCAAGTTGTGAACAACTCTACTGCTCTTGAATTCTAGGATAAAGCAATATGTATTTTGTGTCAAGATAGGGGATTTTTTAACTATATCTGCAGATATATTGTGCAATAGCATTTGCTGTTCGAAGTAGAAAAAAAAGTTTGCTATTTGTTCACAGAATTATTTTTGTGTAATAACAGCAGAAATGCCATTGATACCTCAATCTCCACCTAGTCATTCTGTAAAGAATATTTGAACATCTGAAAACACACGGGGAATGAAACCTGAAACATTGTCCTCGACAGCACAGTAAGAAACACACCATCACCATAAAGAGGTGCCAAAGACTGAAAATCAGGACGAGTTCTTGCTGCACTGTGAACTCTGGGTATGTCCAGACTGCAGCAGTCTGTGCAAGCCAGCTCAGGTGTTGAAAGGAGTTGATACAGATCAGCATGAAACTCCACACTCTTTAATGCACCATCGACACATAGCTTTTCAGTTCTTGCTCAGAATACTTGACTTTAATGTTTTGCTTTTAATACATTGGTTTTTATAGGGGAAAAAATTAATGAAGTTATTCAGGAAAGCAGAAGACACAAATTTGCTGTGTAACCTACATTAATTCTGGGTTACAGCCTTGACTGTATGTCATGACTGCAGTGGCTGCATCTACAAAGCATTTTGTTTTGTGCAAGAACATCTTCAACTAGACCAGTGTGCCCAGAGCCCTGTCCAACCTGACTTTGAATGTTCCCAGGGATGAGGCATCTCAGCCTCTTTGGGCAACTTCTTCCACTGTTTACCACCCTCATCATAAAACATTTCTTTCTTATATCTAGTCTGAATTTACCCTCTTTTAGTTTATAACCATCACCTCCTTTCCTATCACTAGAGGCCCCTGTAAAACATCTGTCCCCATCTTTCTTATAAGTCCCCTTTAAATATTGAAAGGCTGAACTTATTGTGCTGCATCTCTGGCTTCTGCTTACTGATCTGCCCCTAAGACATTATGTAAACATAATATTTTTTGCTGTCAGAATGAGCGAGCTGTTATTCCGGTGTTCTTCCCCAGAGGAATAATCCCTGTGAATCATTACAAGTGGTCACAATTCAGAATAATTCCTCTAAAGTTTTGCTGGTACCAGGGGTCACCTGCCTCTGCAAACTGAGTGTTAGTGATGCCTGTGCACTTGTACAAAATTGAGGTCACCCAGCTTGTTTATTGGGACTCTTTGTCTGGCAGCCAAATCCTACAGCTGGAAGCTGAGGCAGATGCTCAGCAGCTGTTGTACAAGTTACATGTGCAGGAAGGAGATTTACTGTTTTGCTCAAGTTCTCCAAAGCAAT